TATATATATATATATATATATATATATATATATACACACACACTGAGTGGCCAGATCATTATAATCTGGCCACTCAGTGAATATCAATAAAGCTGATTTTTAAAAAAAATCTTTATTGTTGAAAGTATTACATATGTCCTCCTTTTCACCCATCAACCCGTTCCAGGTCATCCCTGCTCCCTACCCCAGGCCATCCCCACCCCACTGTCTGTGTCCATGAGTTATGCATATATAATTAAGTTGATTTTTAAAAAGAGAGTGGGAATCAGGTCCTTGGAAAATAATTAATTTTTAAAATATATTTTTATTGATTTCAGAGAGGAAGGGAGAGGGAGAGAGAGAGAAACATCAATGATAAGAGAATCATTGATCAACTGCCTCCTGCATGCCCCCTACTGGGGATTGAGCCCACAACCCAGGCATGTGCCTTTGACCAAAAGTGGTCCCCGGACCTTTCAGTCCACAGGCCAAAGCTCTATCCACTGAGCCAAACTGGCAAGGGCTGGAGAACAATAAATTTAAAGACTGCTGAAGGGAGGAGAACCACGGAGTTGAAGCGTCCCTTTGCACAGTCAACTCCTGGAATTTCTTGGAAGATGATTGTTCCATTAGTTACAAACCAAGAGAGCACTTCCAGAAAGATAAGCCCATTGCTGCTGCTGTTTTTGGAGCACTGACTAGTGCCAATCATCATGCTAGACACTTATATAAAGTCACTTAATCCTTCAACTTCTCATTTTACATATGATATAACTAAGTGGTTGGCTCTGGGTCACATAGGAAGTTCAGAGCTCAGAAGGAGACCCAAGTCTATCTAACTCCAAAGCTAAGTTCTAAAAACAGACCTTAAAAAAATTTTAATTTTATATAAAAGTTTAAACCAAAAGTGTAAAGAATAATACAGGGTACACCCCACTCAGCTGAAGAAATTGAATTCTTGCCCAAGTGTACAGAGCATTGGCCTGGGGACTAAGAGGTTCCAGGTTCAATTCTGGTCAAGGGCACATGCCTGGGTTGTGGGCTTGATTCCCAGTAGAGGGGCCTGCAGGAGGCAGCCCATCAATGATTCTCTCTCAGCATTGATGTTTCTCTCTCTCCCTCTCCCTTCCTCTCTGAAATCAATTAAAAAAAAATATATATATATATATATTTTTTAAGAAATTGAATTCTCTCGCAACACCATTGCAGCCCTCTTTGTCTCCTCTCTCATCTCATCCCTCTTCTGCCATATATCCATGCTTCTGGACTTGGTATTTATTGTTCCCATACTTCACTTCATATGTAACTCCAAGCAATGTGAAGTATAGTTTTACATGTTTCTAACTTTATATAAACATCATATTATACTGAATGCACTCTTCTGAGGCTGCCTTTTTCCTCCGCATTGTTTGTGAGATTCATAAAAATTGACAAGTGTATCCATACTCTATTCATTTCCATTGCCATAGAGTACGAAGCATTCCATTATATAAAGGTATACTAGTTCTTGTCACTAGCCTGGGGTTGGACATTTGGGTAGCTTCCAGTTTTTTGTTATGACAAATCGAGCTGCTGTGAACATTCTTGTTCATGTCTCCTAATTCAAGAGGGTGAACATTCCTACGAGTGTGTACTAGTTTCCTATGGCTGCTGTAACAAATTACCACAATACTAGTGGGTTAAAACAATACAAATATAGTATCTTACAACTCTGGATGTCAGAAGTCCCAACAGTTTCACTGGGCTGACATGAAGGTTTTGGCAAGGTCACTGTCCCTCTGTAGGGGAGAATCCATTTCCCTGAATTTTCTGGCTTCTAGAAGCCACCCACATTCTTTGGCTTGTGGCTCCTTATTACATCTTCAAAGCCAGCAACACAGTATCTCCAGATTTCTCTGATTCTGACCCTCTGCTTCCATTGTCACATCTTCTCTGATTCTGACTCTCCTGCCTTCCTCTTCTAAGGACATTGGGTGGACAAAGTCTCCATCTCAAGGTCCTTGACTTAATCACATCTGCAAATTCATTTTTGCTGTGGAAGACAACACAGCCACAGGCTCTGGGTTTAGGATGTGGACATCTTTGGGGGTCATTATTCCATCTACCACAGAGGGAACCACTAGGCAATGTGACCTGAGCATCTTTGAATTAGGAGTTTGTCAAACTGCTCTCCACAGTGAATTGGTTCTCCACAGCGAAATGGGAGTGACAGGACTACATAAGCATTCCAGCACTGTCCCTCCCATTTTCATCAACACTAGCTATTACCTGACTTTTTCATTTTTGTTAACCTGGTGGCTGTGAAATGCCTGGGCTCTACTGCTATGTGGTCAGGAAAGAGACAGTGACCAGTCGCGTTGATGTGAAAAAAAGGAGTTCTGGCTGTAAGAATGTGGTCAATGACCTTGGCTAGAGCAGTTCCCTGTGAAGTGGGGAGAGGGAGTAAAGTCAGACCCAGTTAAGAAACAAGGAGGGCCAGGAAAGGGACACAGGCAGTGCCGAGTGTAAAGGGTGTGTCTTAACTTGGGCTGCCACAGAGAAATACCACAGACCTGTGGGCTTACACAACAGATATTAACTTCTTACAATTCTGGAGGCCAGGACATCCAAGATCAAGGTGCCAGCAGATTCGGTTTTTGGTGAGAGCCTGATTCCTAGCTTACAGACAGCTATACGCTCTCGCTGTGTCCTCACATGGAGAGAGAGAAAGAACTCCACTCCCTTTCTCTTCTTATAAGGACACTGATGCCACCATGGGGGACCCAATCTCATGACCTCATCTAAATCTAATGACTTCCCAAAGGCCCCATTTTCTTTCTTTCTTTTCTTTTTTTAAAAAATATATTTTATTGATATTTTACAGAGAGGAAGGGAGAGAAATAGAGAGTCAGAAACATTGATGAGAGAGAATCATCAACCAGCTGCCTCCTGCACACCCCCCACTGGGGATGTGCCCGCAACCAATGTACATGCCCTTGACCAGAATTGAACCTGGGACCTTTCAGTCCGCAGACCGACGCTCTATCCACTGAGCCGGTTTCGGCCACCCGCCCCCCCCCCCCCCCCCACTTTCAAGTAGCATATTGAGGGGTTAGGCCTTCCACACATGAATTTGGGAGGACATAAACATTCAACCCATAACAGGATGCTTTCAAAATATTGGAGGATGAATGAAAGGGAGGTTATCAGTCTGGTGGTAGGGAGAAAGAAAGACATCACTGATGGAACAGGGCAAGGCATCTTGGAGCAGGCAGGTAAGGTGAGGCCTGTGGAAAGGGTACCTGGATTGGCTTTGGAAGGAGGAGAGGCTGCTGTTTCTGAGGTGGGAGGGTAGGAAGGGCACTGAGGCATATACAGGAAAATCCAAAGAGGCGAGGCAGAAAATGGCACAAGCTTCTCTCTGTGGTGGGCAGCTGGAATGGGGGAAGGTTTACAGAGAACATGGTTGTGGGGCTTTCAACACGGTGCCTACTGGGCTGAACAAAGGGGGATTGGTGAGAAAGAGGGGACAAGCTGAGGTCTTACTAGCACTCTTAGGGTGAATAAGGCCTAGAGTCCAGAGGCGAAGGGGCCAAAGGAGGGCCATGTAGGATTGTCTGGAAGACCCCTGGATGCTTAGTGGGAATGGTGAGCTCTGAGGTGGCAGAGCAGAGCCAGGGAGGTCACAGCCAGGGAACTGGGATGTGTGGAGGGACGTTTGATAATGCCCAGGACCATGGTGGAAGGAGAGCAGGGACTGTGGGAGCCCAGAGGAGAGGGGCACATAATCCAGCCTGGGTAAGCGGAGGGCTTCCAGGAGGTGGTGATGGTTCAGCTGAGTCTTGAAAGGGAAAGCCAAATTTCAGTTATATAAAAATTTGGAAGAAGTATTGGCTTTATCGTCTACTAATAAGTCTTTCTTATCCTACTCATCAGTTTTGTCTCTCTTAGATATCTGCCCATTGTGCTCCGGATGGATTGGAAGAGTCCTTGTTGGGTTCTTTCAGCCCTTATACATTGGCTTATGGACTTCTCTTTAGTTTAATTATTTTCTCCTTTAACTGCAGAACTCCTATTCATCCTTCAAAACTCAGAGCAAATGTCACCTCCTCTGGTGAGCCTTTCTGATTGCCCTGGTCCTACCTCTGTGCTTTCCTAGCCGTGTGATAAAGCGGAACAAGCTCACTCATTACTGTTTGATTTTAGACAAGTGGCTTAGTCTCTGAGTGTCTGTTTCCTGACAGACACTAGCCACGTCTAGCGGTAAAGATAAAGGCAAATGATAATCCTCTGGCATCACATGGAATCACTTAGGAAGCCATTGGGTGGTGAAACTTGACATTCTGACTTGTCCTAGAGTAAGCTGTGTGAGAATGGGACTCTGTCGTCCTAAATCCATGAGTTCTGCAGAGAGGTTCTAGCCCAGTGACTAGGAATCATGTGCTCTGTGGGCCCTGAACAGAGGGAAGAATTGAAATTGCCTGTCATTTACCTGTAATGTGACTTTGGGAAGGTGACATCATCTCTGTGAATCTGTTTCCTTATCTGTAAAATGACAACATATTAGGGACTCATTTACTACAGGTAAAGCTCTCAACACACACTATCTCTAATCTCCACTTTGTGCATCATCAACCCATTTTACAGAAGAGAAAACGGAGGCTTGGGGAGGTGATTGACTTGTTCACGTTAGCCGCAGAGCAGGAGCACCTGGCGCCCAGCCAAACTCAGAAAACTGTTGTGCGAATCCAGAGGGGAAATGTGAAATAGTCCCTCAAATTGTAAACGCCTGGGGTGGGAGAGTCCCTGCCTGGGGGGCGTGGCGAATGATGGATGGCCAAGAGGAGGGGTGCGGGGAGAAGCCGCCCCAGATATCCGGATGGCGGCGGTAGGATGGCTTTGCGGGCCGATCGGCGGGTGCGGGAGGCCCAGCGAGGCGCTGCATTGCCCAGTGGGCTGGGGTGCGGCTCGCCCCCTTTCCGCCCCACCCCCAGCCCCAACACCGCGGCCCCTTTAAGGGCGGGCAGGGCGCCCTCTGGCGGCGGAGCGGCGCGCGCACGGCCGGAGCCGGAGCCGGATCCCGGAGCCGGAGCGGAGCGGAGCGGAGCCGGGGCGGAGCGGGCCGAACGGGCCGAGCCAGCAGCCGAGCTGGGGGCGCGGGCGGGCGGCATGTACCGGGCCCGGGCGGCGCGGGCGGGGCCGGAGCCCGGCAGCCCGGGGCGCTTTGGGATCCTCAGCACCGGGCAGCTCCGGGACCTGCTTCAGGATGAACCCAAGCTGGACCGGATCGTGCGGCTCAGCAGGAAGGTAGCGCGGGGGTCGCGGGCGGGGGGCGCGGGGAATGGGCCGCGGCCTGCCGGACCTGCCGAGCAGCCAAAGGGCCGCGCGGGCCGGGCCGCGGGGCCGCCGCTGGGCGCGGGAGCCTGGCACGTACGAGTGGGCTCCGCGGAGCCGCCCCCGGGGGAGGGGGCGCCCGGAGCCGGCCTGGGGCGGGTGGGGCGCCGGGGACCCGGGGAGGCGCCTGTGCACCCCCGGGATGGCCGCGAGGCGTGTCCTACGGCGGATGCTCCGGGGAGGTGTGTTCTGGGGGCAGGGGTGGTGGTGTTGTGGGGGGCCTTGGCTCGCACACCCACGTTCTGTAGGGCCAGAAAGGGGAGGCGCCTTCCATAGGGAGAACTAGGGGCCTGTTTGACACCTGGGAGGACCGATGAGGGAGCGCCCGCATCTGGAGGGTGCAGGAGGCGGCTTTGTGTCTTTCCTTGGGTAGGGGCACTGAGAGCTGAGCTGTATATTCCATAGGCCACCATAAGAGAAAGTTGTATATTCACAGGCGATAGGCCGGGGCTGGCTGGCTGTGGGGGGCAGAAAGGGAAAGTGTGTGTCGGAGGGAGGCAGGCAGGAGGGGCATAGGCATCCTATAGGGGACAGATGGAGGGTAGTGTGTTCTCTAGGGGCGGGGAGGGGAGGCTGGGCACTCCAGGAAACAAGGAAAAAGCATTCTCCAGAGCCAGGAAAGAAAGGGGCTCTGCTTTCTGTGAGAGAAGGAAAGCTGGGAGGGAGGTGCTAGAGAATCTGGGAGGGAAAGGGGGTGTGTATTCCGGGGGGGGGGGGATTCCACTGGAGGGCAGAAGGACAGGGGTGCAGGGAGGAGAGGGCGGCTTGAGGGGGTACCATGCAGGGACAGAGTGAAGACCACTCTGGAGAGTCAGGGCCAGGGTGGGAGTGTTTTTAGCACAAACACCTGAGGAGGAGGCAGACAAAGGCCTGGAATGAGAGGGAAGCTGCCCATGCATGGAAAATGGGACAGAGGAGGGAGGGGGACTCCTCGGGGACCTGGGCAGACATATTAATTGAAAAATTAAAAATTAACTAACATTTGTAGAGGCCTTCATAGTTTTCCTCTCCTCAGTCTCCCCGCCGCCCTGTAAGGTAGTGGTTTTTAGCTTACTTTGCAGGGGAGGAAACTGAGGCCCAGAGAGGAAGCTCCAGGCAAAGCCCCACCTGGGCCTCTTGCAGTGTCTCCACCTGTTGGCTCCTCGTCCCGAGAGGGGGATGCTTTCGGCTTGACCCTGGGCGCTGTGGCTCGGGGTGGCAGAAGGTGGAAGCAGGCAGGCTCCCTGAGTGCACTCTTGGCTCTTCTCCGGTGACAGTTCCAGGGCCTGCAGCTGGAGCGCGAGGCGTGCCTGGCCTCCAACTACGCACTAGCCAAGGAGAACCTGGCATTGCGGCCCCGCCTCGAGATGGGCCGGGCAGCCCTGGCCATCAAGTACCAGGAACTTCGAGAGGTGGCCGAGAGCTGTGCGGACAAGCTGCAGCGACTGGGTGAGGGGACGGTTGGGAGAACTGCCTGGGAGGGTGGCAGCTGGCTCTCTGGTTGGTTGGCCTTGGGAAGTGCGAGGCTCTGAAAGGTGGGACTTGGGCAGACCTATTCCGCAGGCAAGTTTGAGGGGGCACTACTCCTGGAAAACTAATTTGGGGAAGTGAACAGTTGGTGGGCAGAGCTGGGTTGTAGAGGCCAGATGAGGGCCCTGGCAGTGGGAGAAAAGGGGGCCCAATATCTAAGGGCCTGGGGTACCCTAGGAGACAGAGCCCCTGCTCCCTCTTTTGCACTAAAACGGGGGGCAGAACCTCGCGGGAAGATGCACAAACTGATCCCAAGAACATTGTACAGATGAGGAAACAGAGAAACGGAAACACAGAGTCACACACAGGGTCAGTGAGAGTCAGGATTGGGCCCCGGGATTGGCCTTTCTGTCCTGCGTGACAGGCCCTAAGGGCAGGGGCCATTCACTCTGTCCCTCTGTGGCCCTCAGAGGAGAGCATGCATCGCTGGAGCCCCCACTGTGCACTGGGCTGGCTGCAGGCTGAGCTGGAAGAGGCTGAGCAGGAGGCTGAGGTGAGGGGGGCGAGGCTGGGCCTGGGGGACAGGAGAGACCCATTCTATCATTCCCCCCCACTTCATTCGTACAGAGTAGGCTTGAGAGCCCCTTCTCCAGGAAGTCTGTGCCAGGCCCCCAGGAGAGAGAGCCCCCTGTGAATGTCTCAGGGCAGAGTAGGCTGGGTCTAAAGAGGAACTGGCACAGACTTGTCAGTGCTGGGCTGGGGTATAGTGCTCAGTGAGTTAATGGAGGCGGGTTAGGAGGGGGCCTGGCCCTAGCTTTGATGGGCAGCACCTAAGTCTACCTACCTGGGTCCCCATCTCTGATCCTGCCTCATCTCTGACCCAGCGGGTCTGGTGATAGAAATGAAATAGAGGCTTGAGAGTAGAGGACATTTGTCTACAGCCACTCAGCAAGTCAGAGGTACGCCCAGCTGTGGTCACCATTAGAAGGGATTTGGGGGAGGAGGGGGAGGAATAGAGGCAGTCCACAGTCTTGGTCATGCTTCTCCCAAACTGTGCCTTCCTCCCGTCCCAGGAGCACATGGAGCAGCTGCTGCTGGGGGAGCAGAGCCTGGAGGCGTTCTTGCCCGCTTTCCAGCGAGGCCGTGCCCTGGCCCACCTGAGGCGGACCCAGGCTGAGAAGCTGCAGGAGCTGCTGCGCCGCCGGGAGCGGTCTGCCCAGCCAGCACCCACTGCTGCTGCGGATCCCCCCAAACCTCTCCCCCCTGCAGCTGTCCTGCCCACCGGGGCCGGCCGGGGGCCACCAGCAGTGCCCCGAAGCCTGCCCCCCTTGGACTCCCGCCCAGTGCCCCCGCTGAAGGGCTCCCCCGGGTGCCCCCTTGGCCCAGCACCTCTGCTGAGCCCCCGGCCCTCGCAGCCAGAGCCCCCTCACCGGTAGGATCCAGGGTATGGCTCCCCAATGGGGGGCCCAGACAAAGTTGATGCGTGGCTCCTCCTCCTCCCCCACTGCCTGGGTGGGGGGAGGGGCAGGCCCCTCCCCTTGGCCTCAGGCAGGCCCTGGCCCTGGAGGCTAAGCTGGGGAGGAGGGTCACCTGAAAGATGCCCTGAGAGGGCTGGGGGTGGGTGGGCAGGGTGTTACGCCTCTGGCATTGAGGAAACTGCCTTTTTTTTGGCCCTGGCTGAGACCCCTTCCCCCCAGGTGATGGGCAAGACCCAGTGAAAGAACTTGACTCATGGCAACCTAGGAAGGTGCCCGCTCTCCCCAAGGCCCTGCCTTGGGAGCCTATCACACCCTGCCACTCCACTGGGCTGGCACAATCAATGCCAAGGCTGACAGGAGTGTTTTCCATCATGTACTGAGCCTACCTTCCTCCCAGTCCTGGGGCCCACCACCTAGGAGCCAGGTGGTCAGGTCTCAGCAGCAGGGTCAAGGAAACCATGGCCCTGGGGCCCTACTCATGCTCCCGACACTGGGGCGAGGTAGGCCAGGGGCTTCTGACCTGCACAGGTGAGAGTGGGCCATCCCCAGGAAAGACCATTCTGTATTTTTCTGTCCCGTCTCCTTAGAATGGAACCTTTTTGAGGGCAGGTCCTTGTCTTTGTATGTTCTGTCCCCAGCCCCGCTTCCCAGGGGCCGTCAATAAATGTGATGATGAGGATGACGATGCTGCCCGACTCCTCTCTGCTCCCTCAACCAGCCACTCTGCTGTTGCCACCTCTACATGGCAGCTCCTGAGCTTGCTATTCTTGAGATGCCCTTCCTTCCTCTCTGCCCATCCAAAGCCCGCCTGTCCTTCAGGTCCAGCACTGCTCCTGCCTCTTCCATGAAGCCTTCTCTGGTTATCAATCTGTGGGAGACCTTCCTAACTCTTAACTTCCCGCACTTTGGGCCAGAAGCACACTCTACTTCACTTTCTCCAACTGCCTCACCTGTACGCAATTTCTTTTCCCGGGTCATCTGTAAGCCCAATCAAGATAGTACCTGCTTCTTCTCTGGCCTGCGAAATGGTCACCGCCAGAGTGATGGAGGGGGCTGTATAGTGCTGAAGGTTATTTGTCTTCAGCTAGGGTGAATACTAGGTGGCTGGCTTGGCTGATGAGTGTGGGACAAGATGATGGAAAAGGAGCCCTAGCCAGTTTGGCTTAGTGGATAGAGTGTTGGCCTTCGGACAGAAGGTCCCAGTTTGATTCCGGTCAAGGGCACATGTCTCAATTGCAGGCTCCTCCCTAGCCCAGGCCCCGGTCAGGACACGTGCAGGAGCTACCAAATTGATGTGTTTCTCTCTTCCACTCTCTCTAAAATCAATGAAAAAATATCCTCAGGTGAGGATTAAAAAAATAAAGATGGGAAAGCAGAAATCAGCTTAGGTCAAGTCTGATGAGATGAAGTTTGGCAGGGAGGCATGGATGGCCTTACAAATAAGAGGGGACAGTCAGTGCTGTAGAAGCAAATCTAATCTTGGTACAAGTTAATGGGAATAAACCATCTAGAAAGAGGGAAGTGTTGGGCTGGCTCAACTTTTCACTGAAATCTTACACTCTAAGAGGGATCACCAAAACAGCATGTTTGGAGTAATAACAATAAGAAAGGATTGAGACTAGTCCTATGTGAACAATTGAGGGACCCATGTAGGCCCAGCGGTCAGAGCCTAGACCAATGGGCGGAAACCAGGTTTGGGCTCATTATAAGACTCGTAGGTTAGGGCTACTATTGAAGGTAGGTGGTCCCCTTTTCTCAAATTTTGTGAACAGCACCTGAGTGACTGCTTAATCTTTAGAGATGAAGGCAATAGTTGGGAGGGACTGGCCCACTGAACTTTTGAGAGCTCTTCAGGCCCAGACAGATTTATCCCATAGGGGCATGGTCAAAGGAAGCACAACTAGTGCCCACTTGAGACCCTTCGTCCATATTGGCCTTGGTTCTACTCTCCTGTTAGCACATGAGCTGCTGGAGGCTGAGGGACACCAAAACATCTCTGCCTGAGAGGACAATAGACAGAACAGCTCTGGAAAACCTAAATGCTAAGCATAACTTGGGGCAGGCTGGGCCCTTTTGCCCTCATCTCCCATTCTGGATTCATGCTACTAGGCAGTTTGTAACTAAAAGGAGAAAGGGGGCTTAAGTGAGCATGTCTGAGCCTTCCTCCACGATCATGAGTTGAGGAGCAGCCTCATAAAAGCAGAGTTCAGCCTCCCCTCCCCAGGGCAAGTAAGAAGAGAAAGGAATGACCCGAGCAATGGAGGGACAGGAAGGGGAGAAAAAGTGTTTCCATGGAACTGTATGAGTTCTTCAAAAGCCCTAACTGGTTTGGCTCAGTGGATAAAGTATCGGCCTGTGGACTGAAAGGTCCCAGGTTCAATTCTGGTCAAGGGCATGTACCTTGGTTATGGGCACATCCCTGGTAGGGGGTGTGCAGGAGGCAGCTGATTGATGTTTCCCTCTCATCGATGTTTCTAGCTCTCTCTCCCGCTCCCTTCCTTTCTGTAAAAAAATCAATTTTATATATATATAAATTTTATATATATAAAAGTCCTCACCTACATCAGAGCTCAGACTGTTTTAGAGGGGGTAGAGACTGAGGTCCCTTAGTGTTCAGCTCCAGCCTTGAAAAAGACTAAGGCAGATGGTACAGGTATCACCAGAGTGAAGTGAGCCTGGTTTTGGGCCATGGGAAAGGGTTAGAATTGGATGGTTAATAAACTGCATTAACTCCCTTGCTGGAAAATACATGGAATGTTCTGGAATGTTACAGGCAGCGCTCTCTTTCTAAAACCCTCTGGAACTTTGTTCCCAGATTCTGGGGCTCCAGGGAATATTCTTGACTATAATCCTGTGTGAGAGAGAACAAACAAGGGTCTACATCAAGGAGCCCATGAGTAAGGAACCACCTATTACAGACCACCAGAGCTTGTACAAACCAAAAGCAAAAAGTGGTCCAAATAACAAAACTCCCACCCCTTTTTGATAAAAACAGAGTTCCTACCTCTCAAGAAAGTCTGTTATGTGCACCTCCTTGTTTAGTTATCGCTAGCTTCTGCATGTTTCCCTAAGCTTCTCCTTGATTTCCAAATGCAAAATGTAACATTAAATGTGTTTTTGTTTTGCTTGTTGCCAATCCAGGATTACTGACCTAAGCAGGCCTGAACCAGAGTGGACTCAACTCTTTACCAGTGAGTCATGTGGTCACTGTAAAACCACAGCTAGGAACTTGCCCCTGGCCTCCAAGGTTAGAGTATCCAATTGTTTCCGAGAGACCAAGGTGGATTAGCTGTGGGTTTATCTCAATTCATATAAAGATTGTACACAAAAGACTGAGTGTAGGAATTGGGGTTATAGTACTCTGCAGAGGGAGACCTCTGGCTTTGTTTAGAACCTTACCACTGCTTAGACCTCTTCAAAGATTCTTCCTGTCCCACACGAAAATAAGATTTACACTCTGCCTCTCCGCATAAAGTGTAAGCTCTTACATATGATGTAAACTCAAATGCCTGTAGGGGCCAGGAAAATCACAGAGGTGCAAAGCAGATCATTCCCACAAAGAAATACACCCTCTCCCATTTTTTTTTTCTGGAAATGTACAGTCCTTTTAAAACATTTCTCCTCTTGATAGATATAGAGAGACATTTCTCTACTGTGGGCAAAATGGTGAAAGTATCAAGGCTCTGTATACCTTCCCTCTGATGGTGGGAGTGCAGTGAAATATCTTTTCTAAAAGGCAGATGTCGCCGAGACCAGTTTGGCTCAGTGGATAGAGCATCGGCCTGCGTACTGAAAGGTCCCGGGTTTGATTCTGGTCAAGGGCATGTACGTTGGTTGCGGGCACATCCCCGGTGGGGGGCGTGCAAGAGGCAGCTAACCGATGATTCTCTCTCATCGCTGTTTCTAACTCTATCCCTCTCTCTTCCTCTCTGTGAAAAATCAATAAAATATATTTAAAAAAATAAAAACATAAAAGGCAGATGTCAGCTTCTCCCAGGCACTAAAGTGGGTATCTGAGCTCAATTGTGGAATAATTTCTCTTTTTTTTTGAGAGAAGTAAAAAATCTTGATTTCTATGCAAAGTCCCCTCAGTTATGAATGTTGGCTAAAGTTATCTTAAGACACTGTGCCAGCCACAGCCAAACACTGTGTGAACCATGAATCTTGGTCTGTTCTTGGTCTTTCTGAAACAGGCCTTCTTTTGTCTAGTAGCAGTCCCCTCCAGAACTGAAAATAAGAATGCTGATGAAGCAAAGGCAGGATGGGAAGGCCAACCTACCTCAAGACTAGTGTCAGGACCTCAGGTTCAGACAGCCTTAAGAGAGTGGCATGATGGCTGATACATAGTGACACTATGATTTCATGGCACATGGTGAACTCTGCACTGGCTTCTTTGGGGATGAGTGCACCGAGGGTTCTAGCATATGCAAGTGCATGAAGTCCAAACTGGGGTCCTTAACAGAGGGACCCTCCGTTGCTCTGCTCAACCCAGTGGCTGCCAGGGCTACAAGCAGGGCCTGACGGCAGGTGAGGCAAGGCTTCTGTGATCTTGACCATAGTCGGGTGGCAGTGTGTGACCTCATCATAGGGTGAAGGAACTGAGAAGAGGCAAAGGCCAGGAGAAAGCCCACTTTTCTAGTGCACTGAATTCAAGAGAGAATTGCAGTAGCACCACCACTTACCAGTTGTCCCTTTTCTCAACCTCTCTTCATGAGATCTGGTGACCTTCCAGGAAGTCCAAAGGTCTAAGACACATGTGTCAAACACAAGGCCCGCGGGCCAAATCCGTCCCGCCAGGCCTTGCAATGTGGCCCGCACCGCGCTGTCATCACTGCACTCCGCTGCGTTTCCATCACAATGACAGTTTATGACTGTTCAGTAAACCATTCGGCCCGCGATTTAGGCTGGATTTTAGATTTTGGCCCCTTCTCTGATTGAGTTCGACACCCCTAGTCTAAGACATAGCTTCCTACCCTCACCTTTTTTCCAAAAAGGGAATATGATGGCCCTCATTTGGGCTCCACCCTTAGTGCCTCAGCCTCAGGCTATTACACACATATACACACACACACACTCTCTCTCTCTCACACTCTACATATGATTTTATATATATGTGGAGTCAATAATGACTAAATGGACAACTCATTATCTTTAGGTAGGCTATTCTTATATATTTTGGCTCATGCTAGAATCATTATATTATCGTAGGCAAGGTACATTCTATGAACCAAATGTTTAGAACCTCAGAAGGAAGCAAGAAATCCTACTCTCTCAGTACTGGGATGAGTAAAGGATTTCACCCAGCAATAAATAAAGGGCAACAGAGGGAAAAGCAGTTTGGCTTAGGGGAAATAAAGTCCTGGTTAAGTCCAAAGACAATTACCTAGACATATACACCTTTGATCCTGTCTTGTCTGAGTTTCCCCATTTAGGAACTGTGTGCGCTGCTCAATCAACTTTGTACTATACTTGCAACCTCATCCTCACCCCAATAAGCATAGCCTGGGACAAGCTGGGCCCCTCTTGTCCATTTCCCGTCAAAAACGGACTAAAGTTGAGCATGTCTGAGTCTTCCTCTACTATCAGGAATTGGGGAACAGTGCCTTGAAGGCAGCTAATCTCCTCAGCTTAGTTCAGCCTCTTCTCTCCAGGATAGGAAGGGGAAAATGTTGCAATGGGGACAAGGTAACATTGGAGGGGGGCCCTCAAAAAGCCTCCCACACATCTCTCCTTCCATGAAAAGCCCGGACTCAGTTTAGGGAGGGTAGGGAGTGGGGTCTTACAGAGTTCAAACCTGGCCTAAAAAACCCTGAGGCAAGCAGAATGGCACTTCAGTACTAGTCCTAGCTCTAGGCCTAAGGAGAAACCGAGTTAGATGGTTAATAAATGTTATTGACTACCCTGCATGACATATATATTCTGGAATGTTCCAGAAGTTTCACATTGCCTGGACACCACCCCCACACACATACCTGAAACCTCCTTGAGCTTTTTATCTATTTCCATGTTCTCGGGCCCCAGGAAATGCTCTTGATTGTGATCTTCATAGAAAGAAAACAAACTTGAAATGTCTGTGTCAAGGAGCCCATGCAAAAGGTCCCAGCAATTACAGGCCACTAGTGCTTTTACAAACAAGACCCAAAAGAACTCCAATTCCTTCTGGTAGGATCTTGCCCAAAGGACACTGTTATGCACCATCTCCTTGATCGAGAATCACTGGTTTCTGCATATTTTACTAAGCTTCACTATTGTAGTTTATATTTCAAAAAGAATACTCAGCTGGCACCATTTGGGGGCTCAGCCCACCTGGTTTTCCAGATGACCTAATAAATTCATAATTCTTTACCAAAAAATAGAAAGAACACTTCTCCCTCTTGTTTTTCAAGTATGAAACATAATAACATTTGTTCTTTTTCAAAGAACATATGCCCCACCCCCAAATCAAGGCTTACTGAGCACAGTGGGCCTGAATCAGGGTGGGCTCAAATCTTTACTATTGAACCATGTGGTCACTGCAAAGTCATGATTAAGGGCTTGTCCCTGACATCTAAGGCTAGAGAGAATCCAAGAGATCAAGTTGAACTAGCTATGGTTTTATCCCAATTTACACAAGGATTTCACACAAGAATGTGAATGCAGGAATTGGTATTACTATACTAAAGCACCTCTGGCTTTTGTTTAGACTCTAGACTTAGGCCTGCACCCTTGTGGAAGATCTCCTGAAAAGGTTTTCCTATCCCAAGCTTTCCACTCAGCCCCAGTGCATAAATCTTTGAGCACTGACAATTGCACAGCCATAGGGATGTGCAGTGACTCAGGGTTAAGAGAGCCTGACTACAACTTCTCTAGTCAAGTGATGATTGACCCACGGCTGAAACAGAAAAAAGCCTCAAGCAGTTCTAAACAAGGGATTTCCACCACAGGCCTGATCCTCAGCAGTCCCACCACCTCTGAACTCCCCAAATTCCCCAGAGCCTCAAGCATCCATGTTTCCGGTTGGCTTGTACCACCTGCAATAAGCACTCAAGATAAACAGGATGGGCCACACTCAGAGGAGCTCTATCTCCAGGAAAGGACTGGCTGGCAGCATGGTTAGGGGCAGGGTTAGCCGGTAAAGGGATAACCAGGTGACAGGTACACTATCCCAAGGATAAACTTGACTCTACTAGCATGTCTTTAACCACTGAGCCCATTAGAACTATGGACAGTAAAAGTGTGACAAACCTCAAGAGAGCAAATGGTTTGCTCTCTAGCGTCACGTCCACAGAGTAACTTCTTCAAGGTCATGTAAGTATGGGCACAGAAACACTCATTTTTTATGCTCGATGACCTTGCTTTTCCGGACTCATTCATGCCAACAGCAGAAGGGGGAGAGGGGTTTGGGGCTGACCATAGCAAGGTTTCCCTTACATCACATTTTTAGCCTCTATCAGGTCTCACCTGTGGCTTGGGGAACTCACAGAAAGACAAGGTTGCACACCTCAGAAATTTTCTTTTGGCAGCTAACAATTGGTCACATTGCACGTTTCAAGGTTACAGAGCTCCATGGCACAAACATGGGGCAGGAGCAGACATTTCTTTGCTTAGAGTCTGACAACAAAGCCAGAGCCCAGTGTTCCAGAAGCTGACAACATCAGGAAGGCGCCCGAGGGACTACAGAAAACGCTTCACTCAGGCTTTCAGGGTGTTCATGTTGGGATCTCCTTCTTGGGCATCGGTTTTTTGTTTTTTTTCCTGGACCGCAGGGAGAGCATGTGCCGGTCAAAGGCTAAGCTGGGCGAGTGGGGAAGCGAAGGGGGAGAGAGAGCGGTTCCTTCGGACCCCAGCAGAGGTAGACTGTGGAAAGCGAAGGGTTCAAAACAGGAAAGGCCATTTTCTGGGGTGTGGCTTGGGGGGAGCGGGGGGGGGGGGGCTGCTCCCCTTCCCTTTCTCTCTCGATCAAGAACGAATGCCTACGACGATGAAGATTGTGAGGAGAAAGACGACTAAAGTTGTGTCTCGGATATCGTCCCAGCTGAAGCCCTTCTTCGCCCGCTCCTCCTGCTGCTTGCGGAGGGCCTCCCGCCGGGCCCGGAGGCGGCGCTCGCGCTCCAGCTGCTCCCCGTAGTGCGCCTGGTAGAAGGCGTCAAAGTTGAACATGGTGCGGCTGTCGCCCGGCGCGGCCTGGCCGGAAGTGTGGGTACGAGAGGGGGGCGAAGGGGCGCGGGCCGCGCCGGAGTCCGCCGAGGGCGCCCTGGAGGGCCGGACGCCGGGGCCGCGCAGGTCCATGTCGCTGAGCAGGCCGCGGTCATACTTGCGGCGCAGGGTGGCGCTGCCCAGCACCACGTAGGCCTCGGAGATGCGCGTGAAGCGCTCGGCGGCCTCGGCGCTCCCGGAGTTGCGGTCCGGGTGGTAGAGGAAGCTTTGCCGGTAGTAGGCGGCCTTGATCTGCGCCTGCGTAGCCGTGGGGGGGACGCCGAGCAGCTCGTACAGCGCCGTGCGCGAGTACGGGCCGTCACCCCGCGAGTAAGTCCTCGCTTCGAAGCCTACGCACGATACCCGGCTCTGCGGAGGGCCCCGACCCTGCCACAGGCTCCACAGCAACACCCGCGGCCACTTCAGATCGTGTCTTGCTGCCATCTTGCGTGATCTGGAGGGCGGAGCAAAGGGGAACTGGCCAATGGGAGGCGTAAGTTGTTCGCAGAGCGTCACCCTCGTAGCCAATCGGGTAGGAGAGGAGGCGGGGAGAGGAGTGGAGCATGCGTAGTACGAGGCAGGCGCGCTGATGACATAAGAGTCAGACTCCGGAGCCCCCGGCAGCAGTCGTGTGGCGGAGGCGTGGGCATGGCGTGTCGCGGGCGCCGGCCGGAGCACGGCGGACCCCCAGAGCTGGTGAGTCTCGTGGCCCTCGGGCACCTTTCTGTCTGAAAGATCCTCAGCGTCTTGATTTCTCCCCCAACTACCCTTTTCTCTTTCTCTTTTCCCGCAGTTTTACGACCAGAATGAAGCCCAGAAATACATGCGCAAGTAAGGGAGCCTGGATGTTGCGCGGCGTCGGGGGGTGGGAACCCCGCAGGTTGCCCTCCTTTGGGGGCATTGCGTGGGAAACATGAAGAATTTGGGGCGATTGTGTTGGGAGGAAGGGACCTGGATTTGATTCCATTTTTTACACTGGCAAAGGCAAGTTGAGTTAAATCTCTGAGCCACCTGGGCCGCAGTGACTTCAGCATAAGTATGGGAGTGATCATATTTTTATCTGGGCTTTCAGTTTATTGTGACAGCTTGTTTTAAACATGTGGTAAAATAGGCAGGAGGCAGTGGATATGTAGAAGTGGTTAATGCTCTTGTGGGGGGAAGAAAACATTCATAAATGTTTGCTGTGTGCCCCTGTTTGTATAATCTCACTAGACCCTCTTGACAACTGTTGGTGTAGTAGTTTCTGAATTCCATAGAGGGTAGTTATCTCTGTAACTAGGTGAAGGCTACAACAGACTTCCAGACCTTTGGTCAACCACTCCGTAGGAAATTCTACAGATACTTGATCTTGGGAAAGCCAGATAGATATATTATAGACCTATTCTGTGCTACGGTAACCAGTAGCCATCAGTGCCTGGATTACTTAGCATGAAGAAAATGTAAAATATTTTATTAATCATTTTTTATGCTGATTACGTGTTGAAATAATTTGAGCATATTGGGTTAAAAATTATTAGATGCGCCGAAACGGTTCGCTCAGCGGTAGAGCGTCGGTCTGCGGACTGAAGGGTCCCAGGTTCGATTCCGGTCAAGCGCATGTACCTTGGTTGCGAGCACATCCCGGGTAGGGCGTGTGCAAGAGGCAGCTGGTCGATGTTTCTCTCTCACCGAGGTTTCTAACTCTTTATTTCTCTCCCTTCCTCTCTGTAAAAAATCAATAATATATATATATTTTTTTAAAATAAATAAATCTTAAGAAAAATTATTAGATGCATTGGATTTGGTTAACTCTTAGTTAACCAAAATTACATATTTAATTTTACATATTTAATTTCATTTTAACTGTGGGCATTGGAAAGTCATGTCGCTTGTACCCTGTTTCCCCGAAAATAAGACAGTGTCTTATGTTAATTTTTTCTCCCAAAGTTGAGCTAGGTCTTATTTTCAGGGGATGTCTTATCTTTCCATGCGCTAGGTCTTATTTTCGGAGGATGTCTTATTTTCGGGGAAACACGGTATTATGTTTCCCTTGGACAGCACTTATGTAGATTTTTGTTGTGCATTCTTGATCCTTATATCTGAGAGTCACTGTGGTGGGTAATTTTTCCAGAAAGCTTGTTCTCTCTCTCTCTCTCTCTCTCTCTTTTTTTTTTTTTTTTTAAATTTTTTATTGACTTCAGAGAGGAAGGGAGAGAGAAACATCAATGATGAGAGAGAATCATTGATCGGCCACCTTCTGCATGCCCAGTAAAAAAAAGTATATTAAATAGTTGTAGTTGAGTTGGTTGACCAGGAAAGAGCACTTTGTTCTTTTTTCCTAGAAGTTCTTGGTGTTTTTTTTTGTTTGTTTGTTTGTTTGGTTTGGTTTTGGTCTCGGTACAGGTTTAGCTCAAAACCTTACCACCTGCTAGTATTTCTGCCTTTCTAGCTCTAGGATGATTGATGTGCAGACCAAGATGACTGGGCGAGCATTGGAGCTCCTTGACCTGCCTGATGAGAAGCCCTGTTTCCTGTTGGATATTGGGTGAGATCCTGGGGCCCAGTCAAATTCCCAGGTTGTAAGGCGTCTTTACTTCTCACACTGTTGAGTCCCTGTTTGATTGTATCTTCCAGCTGTGGTACTGGCCTGAGTGGAGATTATCTCTCTGAGGAGGGGCACTATTGGGTGGGCATCGACATCAGCCTTGCCATGCTGGGTAAGTATGTTCTATTTGGCACTGGGGTGGACTACCCTCATGAGTATGGAGCAGCTATGCATATTGTCTGTTTCCTTCACTTACTCTTCTGCGATGCAGATGCAGCTTTGGACCGAGAAGCACAAGGAGACCTGCTTCTGGGGGACATGGGCCAGGGCATTCCCTTCAAACCGGGCTCCTTTGATGGTTGTATCAGGTAAGAGACTTCATGCTTTGCTCTTTGTTTGCAGACCACTGCTTCCCATACCTGGCAGTGCAGCAGTCATGTGGGAAACTGAAAATTATACATCTTATGGGATTTTTAGGTTAATAAGGTCAGAGGAAGGCCCCCAAATAGGTATTTTTTTGTATTTCAAAACTATCTACTGTGATTCTCCTGCACTGTCAGGGGTTCAGGCACCTCTGATATAGTTTCTCTGTCTGCTGTGAGTGTGTGTGGTAGGAGAGGAGTGGTCTTCTAGGCCACTAGGAACCATCTTGGGGGGCCTGGTGGCTATCTCGTTGCTTTTTTGAAGGACTCTGGTGGAGAGTTTCCTAGATTGCTCCTGTCTCTTCAGCATTTTAGGGCTCCTTTCTGGGTTATCAGTCAAGTTTTGAGTGTGTACATAGAACTTTAATAATGGATCTTAGACCATTGATGTTACTGTTAAAAGACATAAAGTTCTTTGTCTTATGTGGGTAAGTTCTGTTTAGTGTTTGGTGAGTTTTTCCCCTCTTTCTAGAATCAATTAAAAATAAAAAAATAAAAAAAAAGCTTTAAAAAGAACGCAGGAGAGCTTTGAGAAAGGAGGATTGGGAGTGGCCTTGAAGGATGGGAGAAATTTGGAAAATCAAGGAGGGTTTCTGAGTGAAGGAATAGTGTGAGCAGAGCCATGGAAGTGGGTGGGGAAAGGAGTCTGAGAGATCATGGGCATGAATGAGAGATTTCCTGGAAGTTGAGACTGTATAGACTTGGGTCCTAGAAGATTTTTTGTTATTTTTGTTAATACTCACTTGATACATTTTCCATTGATTTTGAGAGAGAGTGGGAGAGAGGGAGAGAAGGAGAAACATTCATGGGAGAGAGATACATGGATTGGTGCATGGGCAGGCACTCTAGTCACTGAGTCACAGTGGCTAGGGCCTAAGGTGTTTTTTTAAAACTCCATCCTAAGAAGTTGGGCTTTATTTAGTAGTACTTTGTTTTAGGAAAATTATTTAGGAGATGAAGAAAGGAGAGATAGGTTGTTGAAGCAATTGAGATGGTCATAGTTCTGACCTAGGAGGGTGGTGGAGGAAAGTAGAAGCTTGGAGAGGCAGTGGGACCAATCAGAGGGTTTGTTTGGGGTTCTGGGAATGGGTTGGGTGTTCACAGCACCGCGGAAGGGAATGCCAGAAAGGACATAGTAGCTGCTTGAAAATTTAAGTAGAAGGAACTGATTTTGGAAGAGAGTGAATGAAGGGCTTTGTAAGTGCTGTGAAACATGTTTCCCTTGATTTTGGAACAAGGGAGTGTGAAAGGGTAGGTGGCAGAGAGAGCCTTGATATGATGAGTAATTTTGAACTTTAGATACATGTAGAAAAAGGTTGAGAAACTGTTTCTTTGGACTGACTGCAAGGAAGTTAATGCCCACCTTCTGGATACCCTGTTTGGTGCAGTGTTGTAGAATAGTGACCTGGGGTGGACCTGCAAGTGCCAAGAAAGGGAGTGGGCAGGAGGGTTCTACCTGGATATCAAGGATGTGTGGTGTATGAGTCCTGAAGAGGCAGGGTGTGCTGGTCACTTTCCTGATGAGGTCCCTTTCTGTTTTAGCATTTCTGCTGTGCAGTGGCTCTGTAATGCTAACAAGAAGTCAGACATTCCTGCCAAGCGCCTGTACTGCTTTTTTTCTTCTCTTTATTCTGTGCTGGTGAGTATAAGATCTCCCCATTTGGGCTGGCCGCCTGTCCTCCCTTGCCCTGCAGGTAGAGTGATGAAGTAGACGAGTCCCTGGCAGGGCTATTGAGATGGGACTGCATGGAATGGCAGAACCTTATTGTGATCCTCAGCCTGAACTGAAAACTCAGTGGGCTGACACTCCCTAATGAAATGCAAAAGGTCCTGATGTCAAAATATGAGACAAATTAAAATTCCTGTGTCCACTGTGCTGAATTTTAATCAGAAGTTGGTTTGGGGACATAGATTCACAGAATGAGGACAGGGACATCATGTCCAGGACACACAAAGCATACCTTCCAGAGTGCCCACATCCTTCGACTCCCACCCCGTGCTCCTCCCACTGCTGATGTTCAGATGGGGAGCAGGGTGGTGTTACTCCATGGGATACTTGTAAGATAGTTAATGTTTCTGTTTCTTGCAGGTCCGTGGAGCCCGGGCTGTTCTGCAGCTATACCCTGAGAACTCGGAGCAGGTGAGCCTCTTGGCTGCTGGAGGTGCAGGGAAGGAGGAGGGGCCTAGAACAGGTAAACTGTTCTTATCCTGCTCCTCATCACCTGCCCTCCATCCTGCTCCTCACTCACCTGCCCTCCTACTATTGGAAAGTGACAGAATAGGGTCTTTATGCTGGTTGGTGGGAAAAGGAGAGAATGAGTAAGACTGGTTCCTGTGGCTCCTGATGACATATTTTATGATTTGATATCCCAAGGGGAGTGGTGGGTGTGGAGTAGGGTTAATGTGATATATTAACTGATTTCCATAACCAAATATATAAATAGGGGTGGGGGCCTGAGAGAATATCAGCAGCTGTCTGTTCTATGGAGTGTAATTTAGTATGAAGGAGGAATGAGGAGGATGGCGTTACTGACTTGAAAGACAAGTTGTGAGCTGTCCCTGACTAATACCATGAATGAGTCTGCCCCCAGTATTGGCCATCCATTTCCTGAGATTTGAGTGGGTAGATGGATCCCTGGGCTAGAAAGTGAGAATTGCTTGTTCGGTAATTCCCTTGAGGGGGCTGTGTGCCATGGCTGGCTCTAGCCTGCACTTTCCTCTCTGTGGCTTTTGGGGACTCAGAATTGGGAACAGTCTAATAAAGAAGACCTTTAGTTCTCCCAGGCACAGTTCATCCTGGAACCAGACTGGCTTAAGAGGAGTGAGGGAAAGCAGTGTGCTCCCCCAGCTTCTCTATGACTCCCCAATGTTCTCTCCTCAGTTGGAGCTCATTACGACGCAGGCCATCAGGGCTGGTTTCACCGGTGGCGTGGTGGTGGACTACCCCAACAGTGCCAAAGCAAAGAAGTGAGTGCTGCGGGCCAGTGTGCTGCTTGCACTGCTGGATAGAGGTTGGTGGTGTGGATCAGAGCAGTAGTGCAGGAGGCACTACTGAAAGGGAAGGCGAGGGCTTGACTTACACTACAAGGCTTTATGACTCCTTGAACTTTTCTTGTTTTAGATTCTACCTCTGTTTGTTTTCTGGGCCATCAACCTTTCTGCCAAAGGTGAGGGACCCTGAGTTGTCAGGTGTGTGTCTTCTGGGTTCCCTTCTTGTGAGCCTGGGCCTAGTACCTGTTGAAAGGGCTTAGGTTTGGTGGGTGTCCAGGCCTTTTGGGGTAGGGCAGATGGGTTTAGAGATCTCTAGATGTGTTTAGGATGCTCTAAAAGAACTCTGGTTCCTACAGGGCCTACATGAAATTAAGGAAGAAGAGGAGGCAAAGGAATCCACATTCACTAACAGGAGGTAAAGCGAACCGTAGGTAAACCTGCCTGAGGTTCAGGGAGTTACTGCCACTAGGTTTATTAAACGTGGCAGAGGAAGCTGGAGGTGGCAAGACCACTCCATTTTTTCTCTGCTTTCACCAAGTTCCGGGTTCAGATGTTGCAGTGACACCAACATGGTAATAGAACCAGGAACCCCTTGTTCCAGTGCCTGCTACTGTTTTAGGCTGGGATGTCTGTAAGCAGCCTTACTCTCTGCCTTTCCTCTTGCTGTGCCTGACAGGCTGTCCCCTCCTTCCCGAGGCTGCCTCCGCCACCCTTGTCCTGGGCCCCCTCCCCTCTTGGCCCCTGTGACTGTCCCTTCTCCTGCACCCTCATCTTTACTCCCGTGGGCTATTTTCATCAGCTCACAGACATGCTACACAATTTCTCATGTCTACCAAGAGATTATCCCTTTACTTCTTAACAGCTCCAAGCTACCACCCTGTTTATTTGTTTCCCTTTATATCACAAAACTCCTCGTATCTGCCTATTCTTGCTTCCTCTCCTACCACTCTCTGTCCTCTTCTCTGGCTTATGCTTCTATCTCTTCACAAATTGCTCTTGTCAAGGCCACCGCCAACCTGTCTTGCCAAATGTATGGCCACTTCTGTTTTTCCCCCTACTTTATCTTTTTTTCATTAATCCTCACCTGAAGATATTTTCCATTGATTTTTAGAGAGGGAGAAGGGAGAAAGAGAAGGAGGGAGGGAGGGAAACATTGATGTGAGTCACATTGATTGGTTGCCTCTCCCACATAAGCCCTGCCCAGAGCTGTGGATAGAACATGCATCCCAGGTATGTGCCCTTGCCTGGATTTGAACCCTAAACGCTTTGGTGTGTGGGTTGACACTAACCACTGAGAACACTGGCCAGGGCCTTTATCTTATCTTGCCTGCTCAATAGGACCTGACTCAATAAGACAGCCCATGACTGTCTTAACACCTTCCTTACTTGGCTTCCCACTCACTATCATAGTTTTCCCTTAACCTTACTGATTGCTCCTTCTCAGTCTACTCTGCTGGCCCCTCTTCTAGAGCAGCAGTTGCCAACTGGTGGTCCATGAGATCTGAAAGGTAGGTGACTGCTTTTCTAGAGCATTCTGGGGCCCAGCCTGAACCCCTTCTCTCTGCACGGCCTTAAACGCCAACTACAGGTTTATAACTCTCAGATTTATATCCTTGGCTTCAATTCCACCTCTGATTTCCAACCCACCTTCTAAGTACCCATACGTAAACTTCCCACCCTATCCATACCTGAACTTCCCTCAGATGTCTCAAACAAAACAGAGCTCTTGGTTTTTACCCCCCAACTTCCTTTCTCCATTTTTTAACATACTCACTTATTCTTATCTTCCTTACATCTCATAGCCAAACAATCCATCTGCAAGTCCTGCATCCCTCTTCTCAATGAATATCCCAATTTGAACCTTTTCCCCCACTCCCACCTGGTCTTAAGTCACCACCAGTCTTGCCTGGATTATTGAAAGCAGCTCCATGTGTCTCCTTGCTTTTAGTATTTGTTTCTTTTCATTTATTTTTTGTGCTGCAGCATGACTCTTTCCCTTTTCTTTCTTAAAAAAAAAAAAAAAAATCTTGCCATTTTTCTGTTCGTTATCTTTAGTTCAGTTCTCCTTACCTTTCTCTAGATCTTGGCTATTAGTATCCCCAATTAGAATGAAAACTTGGTGGAGACTGGTTATGTGCCTGCCAGCAGAAGAGTATCTTGCTAAAGATATTCAGTATTTGTTGAACATGTAATTACAAGATAGTGAAGGAGTTATTTCTTAGTTCTGGTTGTATGGGTGGAAGGTGTTAAGACTTTGAAGACATTTAAGAGGAAAAATGGGCAGAGAATTGAATGAGTTTAGAAGGCCCACTGGTAGTGAAAATCATGATTGTGCTCTTTGTGTCTGTCACAGATTTATGCTGTCTGATTGCTTGTCCCTCAGTAGTTCTCTCTCACCTTCCTTTCTCAGCCCATTCCCCATGGGGACTTAGCTCTTCTAGATGTTTTCTGCTCCAGGGCATCCTCCACTTGCCCTCCGTGAGTGATCCCATTTCTTGCTTCACAGAGGAAGTGCAAGCTGTTTAACTCCCTCTATCCATCTTAGGATCCCTCTTGTCCTCACACCGGTGTTTACAGACTATATGTCCTAACTGTAAATTTGGATAAGTTTTGTGACCTGAGTATCCATTTTTCTATTTTAAAAGGGGGGATATTGCCACCCACTTGGGCAGGGTCTTATGTAGAGAGCATGTTTGTTCAGGACTCAGCACAATGCCTGGCACAGACCTTGTCTCCCCTAGTTCTGCAGGCTCTTCCTCTTCCCTTCCAGGTTCCCAGATTTGGGAAGGAAAGGAGAGAGGCTCTTGCCTATTACAAGTATTATTGGGCTTCTCCCATTACTATCACTTCTGTCTAATCACATCTGGCCACTTATAAATATGTGAGTTTAAAAATTTTTTAAATCTTAGCCCTATGCTGAAACCGGTTTGGCTCAGCGTCGGCCATGCGGACTAAAAGGTCCCAGGTTCAATTCCAGTCAGGGTCATGTATCTTGGTTGCGGGCACATCCCCAGTAGGTGTGCAAGAGGCAGCTGATCGATGTTTCTTTCTCATCAATGTTTCTAACTCTCCCTTTCCCGTTCTCTCTGTAAAAAATCAATGAAATATATATTTTTAAAAATTCTTAGCCCTGGCCAGTGATGCTCAGTGGTCAGAGTACTGACCCGCTCACCAAAGGGTCGCAGGTTCTATTCCCAGTCAAGGGCATGTACCTTGGTTGCAGGCTCAATCCCCAGCCCTGGTTGGGATGCATGTGGAAGGCTGCCAATGTGTGTGGCTCTCATGTCAGTGTTTCTCTCCCTCCCACCCCTTCCACTCTAAAAAAATCAATGGAAAGAATATCCTTGGGTGAGGATTAACAAAACAGAAACTTTACCTAATGTATACATTTCTTTTGCATCAATATTGTTCCACTGTGCATTCCTTAATTTTTGCTATCTGGCCTCCACCCTACCAGGAAATGGTGGTCACTTAAATGGCAAGCATCTTTGCTTGATTTGAATTATACTAGAAACAGTGTAATCCCAACTGCCAGGTAGGAAAGTGGTTTGGGTGCCCAGGCTTTTTCCTTGTTCTCAGGGCCTCTTTTCCATGGGGCTGCAGGGGGTTTCTTTTCTCCTCAGCCAGGGCAAGAGGCCGAGATCAACCCTTGAGGGTTATTGTCAGGGCTGTCACGAGCTGGGCAGCCTTGTTTTCCTACTTCAGACATTTATTACTGAGAGCCCCTACTTGATGGGGTATGCTGACCTCGCCACCAGACTTGGGCCTTAAGTGGCACCTGTGGGCATTGGGTCTGGACATTGCTAGACTCTTGTGAACCAATCCTGACCTAGGTTGCCCAAAATGTAGCCTTGTCCCCTGCCTGCCTGCTCCATAAGCAGGATGTGTACAGACCCAATAATTGGTTATCTACTGCAAATATGCCTGCACGTGAGTGGGGCCTTGCACCTTCTGCCCTCCTATATAAATTGCTTTTGACCCCAGTGGATGTTACCATGATGGAAGTGGTGGTGGAGGGGGGGTGGTTCAACGATGCAAATTTTTTATATATATATATATTTTTTTTTTTAATTGATTTTTTTACAGAGAGGAAGAGAGAGGGATAGAGAGAAACATCGATGAGAGAGAATCATCAATCAGCTGCCTCTTGCACACCCCCTACTGGGGATGTGCCCGCAACTACGGTACATGCCCATGATCGGAATTGAACCTGGGACCTTTCAGTCCACAGGCTGACGCGCTATCCACAGAGCCAAACTGGTTTCAGCCGATACAACTTTTATTGTAGAACTAGAGGCCTGGTGCACAAAAACTTATTCACCGGGCGGGGTGTGTGTGTGTGTGTGTGCGCGTGCGTGTGTGTGCTAAACCCCGCCTGCACCCTCTCACAGACTAGAAGCCCTTGGGAGATGTCCTACTGATTGCTTAGGCCTGCTCCCTGGCCTCCCTCTGCGGGAGGTGACCAGCAGGGCAATCGGGGGAATGGCACCTGCAAGTGAGTGACACCTGCTTGCTGGCACCTGCCTTGGTTGGCTTGGTGCTGCCCTTCACCTACCGGTCTCCTACCATTCAGTCAATTTGCATAGTAGGCTTTTATTATATAGGATGGGCATCTAAGGCCCCTAACTCAAAGGAAGTTCACCATTTTTTCCTGCCTGGATTAACTTGGGTGCCAGTCAGGCTGTTTGATCCATCAGTTCACAGCTGTGTCTCCGGCACAGGGTCCAGAACAGGATTGCACGGAGAGGGTTGGTGAGGAAGAGCCGGGAGTGGGTGCTGGAGAAGAAGGAGCGCCGTAGACGCCAGGGCAAGTGAGTGCCTGGGCCAGGGGTAGGCTGCTGGGGATAAAGGGAGGTCTTGACTAGTAAAGGCTCACCTACACTTGAGGGGTCCCAAAGTACTTAGTTCTTCTGAAAGTTTTCTATTCTTCCTGCCCGTTATTTCTTCACAGGGAAGTCAGACCTGATACTCAGTACACTGGCCGCAAGCGCAAGCCCTACTTCTAAGCAGTTCGCTGCATTGAATGGTGGGACAGCTCGGGATCCACTTGCTTCTGGAAAGTTTTATATATTGAAGTATCTACTTCATCGTCTGACAAAATGGGGTTTAGAAAAGTTCTAAAAGCCCTGACCAATGTAAGTCAGTGGTTAGAGTGTCAGCCTGCGCACTAAGGGTCATAGTTCGCTCCCCACCCCTTGTGGGGGGGGGGGTACAGGAGGAAGCCAATTGATGTGTCTCTCTCACATCAACGTTTCTCCCTCCCTCCTACTCTCTCTGAAGAAGAAGAGAAAAAAATATCCTCAGGTGAGGATAACAACTGCAAAAAAGTTCTAATGCTATTTTCTTTAAAGTTCTAATGCATCTTATTTTATTGTAAAATAAACTACTTTCTATGGAACTCTGGCATTTTCCAGTTCTATGGTCCTAAACAAATTTAAGTTCCTCTGTTGGTGGTATCTACCACTTGATTCCATGGGTCTAAACAGAACTTAAGAGTGCTTTTATACACTTAAAGGAATAGGTAGATTTCTTTAATTTAGGCAGATTTAGGAAGGATGGGCAGGATGAAATGTATGCAAAGTACCTATTGGCCTGAGGAAGGAGGCTGGGATCATTTGCCCTCTGAGCCCCTTCCCCATATTGTTATACATGTTCATCTTTAAGTCCTAAGGCCATGCCATTGTAAGAAATCTAGAGCAGAGGCACGGTACAGATACAAATGTTTATTCTACATAAAAATTTCACAAAACAGGCAGCTGGTTGTACCAAGACCTTTGGTGAAGGGGTAAAGGAGGGGAGGGAAGTCGTTAAAGAAGGCAACACGCGGACAGTGGTCACAGTCACTGGACAGGAGCAAAGCTGAGGAAAGGTGGGGCTTGGACATGGCCCCATCCCCTATTGCATGCACTCGCATGCACACTCCTTGCCTGTCAACAAGGAAGAGAGGGGTCTTGAAGTGAGGGCATGTTTCTGACTTGAGAAGCCCCGAGATGGTGGGGGGAGAGGTACCCCTCCCTGGCTGGCTGCTGAATACTGCATCCAAGACACCTGACACTCATGTGGCACATCAGTGGGGAACAGCAAGGGCAGGACATGACTGCAGGCCTGAAGTAACATCTGACTTCCCAGAGCACAAGAGTGGGGACTACAGTCCCAAACATGCAACACACAATGGCTTGAGGACCCGGCTAAGGCCTGCTGGGGAGAATGGCTGGTCCAGGCTGTGGGCTTGGCCTGACAGGTCTGATCTGTTTCCCTGGCTCTAAGGGTGGCTAGAGACCAGGCACCAGCCAGCCTCTTCCAGAATGTTGTCTGGGGTCAGGCATAGCCCAGGGGGGTTGCTCCTGGGGCTCTAGGGATGTGGGGAGGTTGAGGCAGCCGAAGACCTGTTGGACTCTGCCCCTAGGCAGGGGAGAGAACCTGGTCTTGACAGCCAGAAGCTACCTGGCCACAACACCCTGAGCCTCCCTGGCAGTGACTGGCTGTTAGAGGCTTAGAGCTGGGCTGTCTCTCAGGGCCATCCCTCCCTCCCCTAACCTGAAAAGCAGCACCATGTGGCCAGCTGATCCCCACCCCTCAGGGGGCTGGGCTTACGGGGGACAGCTGGAGAGGACAGGATAGATGGTTGGATCAGCAGGAGGCAAGGTTGGGGTAGAGAGAGCCTTGATGCAGGGAGAGGGCAGGCCCCAGGTTAAGAGTGGAATTACTGAAGGCAGAGGAAGTGGGAACATGGCTACCTGGGCAGCTCTGCCTGGAAGGGTGAGGCAGCCAGGCCAGGGCCTGAGTCTGTCCCTTGCTGACCCGATCCCCACCCCGCTGGTGGTCTCCCAGCCTGGTTCCCCTCTGCCTCTTGTATAGACAAACTGTTACAAAGATCATGCACATGACGGCTCAGGGCAGGGTGGGTATGGAGGGGCCCCATGGCAAAGAAAGGAGGGGGCTCCGAGCCAAAGGGAGTCAGCAGCCAAGGAGCTTCCTTAGTGTGGACCATCCAGAGTGGAGAGGCAGGTGGGGCTAGTTTCTATCCAAAGATACCTCCAAAGATAGAGGCAATGACGATGCCCAGGACCACACAGCAGATGATGATCATGATCTTCTTCTGCACCAGAGAAGCGGGAAGGAAAGGCCTCAGAGCATGGGAGAGGCTGGAAGTGGGCCGAGCTTTTAGGGGGTCGGGGCTATGGGGGGAAGAGGACTGAGAGTTCGAGAATCGGGGGCTAATGTGGAGGGAAGGTGATGACCTGGAATGGGCCTGAGGATGGTTAAAATGAGGCACTGGAACCTGGGAGAAGTGGGGCAGAGGCACAGTGAGGCGGGATCTGTGGTCACTAACGGGTGTGCAGGAAATGTGGTTGGGTAGAGTTGGGGCTACTGACCCGGCGCGCCTTGCTCTGGTACTTGACAGCCTTTTTGGTGTCAGACACGGCCCTCTCCACGTAGTCCACCGACTGCTCCACGTTGTACTCGATCCTGTCAATCATCTCCCCCTGCAGGGCCAGGGGCACCCAAGTTCCAGAGGGCCGCCCTCAGGCTCAGAGGGGGCTTGAGGCAGGACTTTAGGAAAGTGCCCTGAGATTAGAGAGAGAGAGGAGTGTGAGGAGGATGGGGTACGCTTCTCACCTGTGTCCTGCAGCCCAGGCACCCCTGGTAGCTCCGGCCTCTCCCTGCAGGGTAGCCAGCCATCCTAGGGAGGGAACTAGCCATGCAGTCTCAGCCAAGGGCATGGGGACATGCAAAGAACACTCAGCTGGGGCCCTAACCTTAGTGCCTGGTGCAGGTGGGCCTGACTGTGGCCACAGATCACAGGTGACCAGTGAGGCCCCCTTTCCATCTGTGGGCCTGACGGTTTTGTCCAGCTCTGTATTTGGTCTTCAACCTTGAAGGCCCTCCACCGACCCCGCCCAGCCACATCTTATCATCTTCCTCTTGGCACTGCCCCAAATTCCCAGCAACAGCATGCTGACAACTGAAGCTCTCCAAGTCCATCGCTTCCACAGGCATCCAAGTCACCCTAATCTCACTGGGATGGCAGCAGCAGCATCCTCGTGACCTCCCTGCTTCCTGACTCGGGTCACACATTCCCATACATCCGACCTGCCAATCCAGAAGAGACTTCATCTGCCAAGGCCCCCCTGTCTCGCTCATCTCCAGCTGCCCCTGTGCTCCAGCTGCATGGACCTCCTTTCGCTCCTCAAATATGGCAGGACCATGGTGTTGCTGGTCCCTCTGCCTGGGCCAACTCTTCATTCTTCCTCTGGGATGCTCCAGAGCTCAACACCTACCTCCTTAGAGAGGCCTTCTCTAGGCATGCCATCCAAACTGGCTTCCCTATCAAAATGGTATTCCAAGTGTGACCCTTGGACTAGTAGCATCTGCATCACCCTTGAGCTTGTTAGAAATGCAAATTCATAGGCTCTTAACCCGACCTACTCATCGGGGAATGGAGATTGAAACAGAAACAAGAAAACAAGCCCTCCAAGTGATTCTTGGGCACTTTAAAAGTTTGAGAACCACTGCTCTCTCACCATGCTGCCTTCTAACATCTCCTGAGCACTTGGCACAACTGGAGAATATTCCAGTTTTCATTTGCTTATGCTGCTCTTCATCCAACAAACATTAGCTCCAGGAAGCAGGCCCTCAGCTGTCCTGGTCACTGCTATATCTGCAGCTCCTAGAAAAATACCCATACACAGTGCCTACAAGACAAACAGCTGGTGGGTAAGACAGGGAAAGATGGGTAGTGCCATGCAGGGCTTGGGATCCTGGAGGGCCAAGCAGAGCCATGCAGAGAGGGGCCGTTAGGTGAGGGAGGCCCTGAAGGCATTTTCAATAGCAGGTGGCTAGTTACCTGGAAATTCGGTCCCTCCCAGGCAGGGCAGCGTGTTGGGCAGAAAGGGTGGGGGTTAGGGCAGACCTGGGTGCTGCCATGGGCTGGGGGGCAGGGCAGTGGGGCCCCAGGCCCTCACCTGGCTCTCCACAAGCATGGCCATGTCCATGAACATGTCGTGCAGCTCACGGATGCTGTTCTCCAATTTAATGATCTCACTGTGCCGGGTCTCAATCTCACTCAGGGCCTGCTTGGAGATGCTGGAGTCCATGATGATCTAGGGATGGGAATAATGAGCTGGGACCCAGGAACTTGCAGAAGGGGGTGGGAATGGGGACCAGGACAGCAGGAAGCCAACTACAAAGGCAGCTAGAATGGGCAGTGGCCTGTGCAGAATGTTCTGGAAGGAGGGTCTGAGGCTTTAGCCCTCTTCCCACTTTCTGCTCAGCTCTTACTAGCTGTTATGAGACCCTATTTCTGACTTGTACTATGGGGCTATTAATACTCCCTACCTGTGTGTGCATAGTAACTGCTAAGTGATAGTTCTTATCACCAATGGTGTATAGAGCCCAAGATGACTGCCCCATGGACCCAGATCTTAAACTGCCTTTCTCCTGTCCCCTCTCCTCCTGTTCTTCTTCCTGCACTGGATGTAGCTGTCCCCCATTTTCTCCTAACACCCACACTCTGAAACTCCTCACTTGTAACTAGTTTCTTCAGGAAGTCCTCTGCTCAGCAGAGAACCGAGCTTCACCTGAACTTAGAGATGGCTCTGGGCACCATGCCCTCCGAGAGGGAAAAAAGGTCCTGAGGCTGGTGGAAGGAGGCCCAAGCTGGTGTGAAATGGGCAGGGCAGCAAGGAAGCGGGTCCAACTGAGAGGAACCAGACATTTGCCACTAACGTTTGTATGACCTCGACCTGTCTCTGCCCCTCCCTGGGGCTTGTCCTTCTCTAAAAACTGTCTTACAAAGTGGCCATGTCCAAATACTGCCCATACCATGCACTCCAGGGTCCTGGTGGGAGTGGGAAGGGTGGGGGCCACACTCACCCCGGAGGCAAAGATGGCCGGATTTCCACTCTCCAGCATGTCCTCTAGTTCGTCACTGGTTGTGGTACGGCCAGCTGCAAGCAGGGGTCACAATGAGTGGCAGCCCAACCCAGGGAGCTCAGCAGCAGCCTTGCTCTGCACCTCAGCCTTGGCCCCACTCCTCAGCCCTGACCCCACCCCCTGAGCTTACTGATCTCCAGCTGCCTCTGTATCCGGCCTTTGCAGCGCTCCCTGTAGTCACACTGCGTCGCATTGTACTCAGACATGACTTCCACAAACTTCCGGGACAACGTGGAGTGCTAGGGGTCCAAGACAGGGGTACAGGTGTCAGGCCCAAGCCCCGCGTGGCCCAAGAGCCTCAGAGGCCAGCTGCCCACTCACAAGGTCCAGCCCCCACCTGTGTCTTCCGGATCCTCAGGTCAGCGGAGGACCGGTTCAGGCCTTCCTCCTGCTCGATGCTCTGCTCGATGCCTGGAGGAACAGATGGCTGCTGAGCCATAATCTGCCCCATTCACCACTGACCCCCCAACCCGCACACTTGAGGATCTGGCTTAGGAACTCCCCTGGGCAGACTTGTGTGGCCTGTAAATGGGAGCACATGGGAACCAGAGGAAAAAGGAGGGCCAGGCATTGATGGAGGAGGAGCCAGCCAGGACCTTCTAGGCATGATGCATGAGTAGGTGAATGCACATAGGCACTCACACGCCTCTCAGTGTGAGTACCTACTATGTGTCAGGCCCAGTGCGCAGGCCCATGCTGTCTCTCTCCTGTCCAGGAAGGCTGTACACCCAACATGGGGCCATGTCCCGAGTGGAAAGGGTCAGGTGGTCGCCACCTGCAGGGTACACAGCCCGAGGTCTGTGTATTCCAGGCCTGCACCTCTATGCTCACACAACCATATGGAGGCTCTGTGTGGAACTAGGCAGTGCGAGCTGCTCCTCTAATCCTCTTTGGGTGAAATGGGGGACAAGGCCCAGAGTGGAGCATTTCCTGGACGAAGCCAAAGGCCAGCCCAGAGCCTGGCACACTCAGGCCAACAAGACAGCTGTGGAGTGAGTGGCACAGGATGGTAGCCTCATAAAGGAAAGCAAGACCCAATGTACCCCTCACGGTTGATGGAACCCCATGGGCAGCGTGGAGGAAGCAGGCTTGGAATGCCCCCCACCTTAGACAAGGCTGGAGCCCAGACTCACTCTTCAACTTGGAGCGCACTTTGTTTGCTGTCTTCTTTATGTCGGACATGAGTTCCTCCAGCTCCTCCTTCGTCTCTGGGGAGGCAGAAGGGGTGGGGGTAGACACCCTGGGTTCCCCCATGCCAATGTCCAGGCCCAGCCTCCTTCACAAGGGGCCCATGGAGGGGGGCTCTGGACAGACCTGGGTCTTCCTTCCTCCTTGAGTAAGGTTCTGCCTGCCCCACCCTCCAGTCTTGGGCCGGGGCCATACCAGCTGCAGCCTCACCCCCTCTCATGCTGCTTTCCAAGGAGCCTCCCTTCTTCTCTCACTGGCTCCCCCACCCCCTGCAGATAACAGATGGGTCTAAATTTAAGGCAGAAATAATCGTGGAGCAGCTGGTGTTGCTGGAGTTGGCACTGGGGAGCCTTTACTTGATACTTGCTTGAGTCGAAGCGGGGGGGTGGGGGAGGTGAACTCACCTAGCATTACCTGGTGGCTAGGGGGCAAGCATCCAGCCGGAGGGCTGACAGGGCCGGGGACCAGGGAGGCAGAGCCGGCCCCTACATCAAGCACCCTGAGCGGGACAAACCTTGTTCTATTCACAAAGCCCCTCTCCCCGGATGCTGAACTCAGTGGAGGCCAACTGCTGAGTGCCCAGGGGGTGGATAGGGGCAGGAGGCACCTGGCCTGGGTGGGGTAGAGCTTCAAAAAGGTGAGCCCCCAAGAGCATGGTTGGCTCCGGAGGTGGCAGGCAGCAGGGCCTATGAGAGGGTGAAGTTGAAGAAGGTCGGTAGCTGGTGTTTCTGGCCCTTGTTCCAAATGGAATCATCCCCCTAAAGCTGGTAGAAGCCATGAGGGTGCCCAACTTGCCTCATTCCCTGCGAGGTATTGGTTGGCAAAAGGGGACCAAGTTGGCTGCTGGGTGGAACAATGGGTCCTGACAGCACCCCAGCCTCAGGGCAGCCTCTAGTCCCAGAGAAACCATAACTGAGCTCCTGGCTGCAACCTTTTCCATCCACCCTCTGCTTGCCTCCAGGGCTGGGGCTTCTTCTATGGGGGTGGGGAGGGGCGTTCACAGTGGAGGGTCGGTGAGGCCACTCCCCAGTGGAACAGGAGTGAGGTGGAGTCGGGGGCTTAAGGAGCAGAGGAGGGAGTCTCTCCCTCGAACAAAGGAAAACTTGGTTACCAGCTGCTCTAGTGTCTCAGCCTTTTTAGCTCAGACCCAAAATAGCCCAGTCCAGACAGCAGCTCCCAGAGGAGGCAGAGCCAGCCTAAGCCCGGGAAAGTGCCCCCCCCAACTCGCCACTATCTTTTCTCCTGACTCCTCCTCAACTCTCCTCGCCTTTGCCTTAGAACCCTTCCCTTTACCAGCCCACGTCAGCGACCTCCTGACTGCTCAGCTCACAGGTGACAATTCTGAACTGGTCGCTGCCGACCGACCGACACGGGGAGAAATGCCGAAGAGCACGAGGGAGGCCGGGAGGAGCTAGGCAGTTCATCACCCCACCGGGCACCCCACCTTCCAGCAGGTGAGAGGCCAAGTCTCCAGCTGTTTACAGTTCCTGCCCCATAATCAGCCCCTTCTCACCCGCCGTGACCCATCACTGACACCTACTGACCCACATACACCTGGGGACATAGACAAACCATGTCGCATGCTGCTGTCCCAGACCAGCCTCTGGGTCTGGGGAGAAGGGGCTGCACTGGAGATAGGCCCTATTTTGGGTGGTTCTCCTCTCCTTTGTGCCCCTTTCTGGGACAGTCACCCAGGCTCCAGTTCACTTATTTTTCTTCCCAAGAGCTTGGCACTGTGTTTGGTTGAAGGGGCATTGGTCTTGGGTTCAAGCACACTTTGGGGCCATGAAGAGATTTTTGTTCCTGGGTAATTGAGGGTGTCTGTGGGCGGGCCTGGGGGTGAGGGGCCATGAACAGGGAGGCAGTGCTGGAGATGAAACTGAAAGCAAGCCCAAGTGCCTTGCAGGGCCCTGGCCCGTCACTGCCCTTGGGGCTGAGGGAAGGGGATCTCCAGCCTGCATGTTGTCAGCCTGGCACATAATAGTGTCATAATCAACACCTCAACAGAGACTGTGACAGCTGGGTCAGGGAGACCTGTCTGGGCACAGGGCAGAATGCAGACACACGCAGGCTCCCTGTGCAGAGGGACAGAGGTGACTTCCTGGAGTCCTGAGAATGCCTGGCTCCAGGGTACCAAGGGCCAGATGTCAAGGCTGCCAGCTCTTTCCGGAAGCTCTGCCTGCTTGGCCAGCTTGCCCTCCTACAGTGTTGCTGCTTCAGAGATGCCATCTGCTCCCCAGGGAGGCAAGGAAAAGGGAGGGGCGAGGCTGAGAGGCCTCCTATTCATGAGCGTAAGCTCCCTCTCCTTGCCTTCCTCCCAGAATCCCAGGGCTGCAGCCAGCCCAGGGCCTTAGGGAGGGCAGGCTGGCTGCCTGACCCGCCCAGGGCTCTGGAGGGCCACCCCTCCCACCACACAAGTATTTGTGGGAGACCTGGGTCCAGCGTATGGAACTAGGCACTGACCCCCGCCTCCCTCCATCCTGGGCCTGGGACAGCGGTTTCCTGAGGTTCTCACAGAGCCCTCCCAAACCTGGCCAGGCAGCAGCGCCTTTCTGGAGAGCCCTATGGGGCCTACAACCCAGCCCTCACACCTACACACTCACTCTCATCGGGGTTGGGGGAGGCCAGGATGGCACTGTGCTTCCGCTTCACCTCCTCCACGTTCTCGGAGATCTTGTCAATGAAGCCTCGGATCTCCTCTACCTGCAGACCAAAGCCAGGGGATCAGGAGAAAATGCACAGGCGGGGCCTCTCGGGCCTATGGCTTGTCCAGAGCGGGGCCAGAAGGCAGGCTTAGGGCCAGGCTTCCAGTGGTAATGGGGATAGCTGCTCCAAGTTCCTTCTAGACCGGGGTGAGGAGGAGTGGTCCAATCCTAAACTTTGCTCCCCTCTGAGCTACAGTCTATTCACTCTCAAAATAGGTTCATTAATTGGTGCCAAGGGCCACTGAGCCAGGATCAGGTGTGTAAGTGCAAGGCCTGGCTCCGAGCTGAGATGTGGTCACCCAAGGCCTGCCAGCGTATGGGGAGAGACTGGTGTGCTGGCTCCCACCTGTTCGAAGAACTCATCCATGAAGCGGTCTCGGTCCACGGTGACAGTGACATCATCGTCATCATCGCTGTCCTTGGCCTGCGCGGGGGTGGGGACACATGAGCATACCTGTAGTGAGACCACTGGACCAGGGGCCCAAACTGCCTGACATCCACGTACAGCAGGCTTGCAGGTTACAGGTCCAGGGTCCAGCCATGCCCCTCTGCCCTCTTGGCAAGGATGAGCCCTGGCTGTGCCCTCAGCTCCCAGCCCTGGGAGAGCTGAAAGATCCCTGGTGACCCAGCATAAGGAGAGGGGCCTTGCCTATCAAGCTGGTAACAGGGCCAAGCCTCCTTCTCCAGCCAGGGACTCCTCCTGCCCAGCGGCCTGCCCCTTCCCCACAGGACGGTGGTCCTCCCAGAGCCTCCCTCACTCTAGGGTGCTGCTCAGGAGGCCCTGCCATTGGCTGGGCAAGAAAACCTCAGGGATTGGTCTCCAGCCACGGGGCCCCAACTGGCCCCTGGTGAGGCTTGGCGAGGAGATTTATGGAGACAGCTTGGAGGAGCCCCTCTCATCCAGAGATCACACCTCTTCCCCCAGTAGCTAAAACAACTCCTGGCCTGGGACCGGCCACCTGGAAGCCAGCGTTGTCCACTCTGGCGAGGCGTTTCCACGCTGTCGTTCCCCCAAGGGCTCTGGAAGGGGAGGCCTGGGCTGTTCCAGGCTGGGCATGTCATTGCCTCCCTCCCAAAAGGCTGGTTGGTTCAGACACACACGAGGCCATCCCCACAGCACCCCAGCCATGCCTGAGAGAGACTCCTTTGTCCCAGGCTCTGCCATGCTGCTTAACCAACTCGGTTCTCTCAGGATCCTCTCTCTCCTGGTCAGTCTTGACATGGGACCTTGACCAGAGCTGGGTCCAACAGGTACAAGAGGCCAGTCATGTTACTTGGCCGGGGCTCGCCTTAGGAGCAGGTGTACAAAAGCCACCCTCATCACGGGGTGGGACAATTATACCTGTGACTTCCCAGCATTCTGGCCATGCTCATTACTGTCCACCCCATACCTTGACTCGGCCACGGTCAGCCCCCTCTCCACAGCCAAGGCCAGGATATCCAGGGCAGGACTGTCGCCCTTCGGACTGGGATTCTTAGGCTCTGTCGCGCCTCTTCACTTCTCAGTGCCCCAAGGGGAGGAGGCACTAGCTGGCTAGGCACTGGCCCTCACCTCCACGCTCTTACATCAGGGCCCAGGGTAGAGGCAGGCAGAGGTCAAGTGATAGGGAAATGAAGGGACTTACGCTGTGGGTCTATCTCTTCTCCACAAAATGGGGACAGAGACCCCTGCCTGCAGGGAGGGAGGGCCGAGGAAGGGTGGGGAGGTGCAGCATGTTGTGAAGGGCTGTGCCCTTGGAGCGCTCGGGGTCCCACTACCCACCAAAATGGGGCTTGGCGAGGAGATGTATGAAGACAGCTTGGAGGGGCCCCTCTCATCAAGAGATCACACCTCCTCCCCCAGCAGCTAAAATAAATCCTGGCTCACACAAGTGCCTGCAGCTGCTACCAGGTGGCTCCCCTTCCCCCACCAAGCCCACCCAGAGACACAGGGAATCGAGCAGCCGTTTCCACACGTTCAGCCCTCCACCCCTAGGAAAACTGAGGCAGAGTGCAGCCTGGAAGAGCCTAGTTCCCCTTCCTGGGCAGCTTGCCAGGTTGGCAAGTGACCCTCGGAGCTCCAGCCATTCAGCGCCCTGCCCTCTCTGTTCTTCTGGTGCCCAAAGAAGGACGGGGTGGACTCAAAGAGGCAGAAGGAGAATTTTTCAGCTCCCTTCCCAGGAAGAGCAGTGACTAGCTAGAGCTAAAGACAAGGGCACCTGAGTCCCTAGAGATGAGTCATTACCCGAGACCCCTAGGAATTGGTCTTGTGCCCCTGTCCGGTCTCCTGTCTTCTTCAGATGTCCAGCCAGGCTGGCCTGCTCCCTCCACAGCCTCTCCAGATTGAAGGCTGGACTTGGGTAGTTTCTCCAACAAAAGGAGGTTGGCAGGAGGGCCCTCCTCTAGGCTCTCTATCTAGGAGGGCAGGGCTGGGGCATGGCACACCCTGGGCTGGGGTCTGACTGGGGCACCAGGTTGGGGCATCCAGATGGAACCCAAAGACAAACTGGAGGGTTTAAAGCCTGACCTTGCAGCTTTGGTCAAACCAACCAGGGCTCCAAGCAAACCTTAGAGGGGATGCTCGGGGACCTGTCGGAAACCGGCCATTGCCCCCACTAGCAGAGAGGTGTGGGCAAGGAACCCGAAGGCTGGTTAGCCTGAGAAGCCCTGAAAGGTCAGAGCCGCACACTCACTATCTAGTTGAGACAGTGGTAGCTGAAGCAACTTCCACCTGTCAATCTTATGTAAATCCTTGCTGATTAGCTATTACTGGAATTGCCTGCCTCTATGGGTAGATCCCAAATCTTAATAAAAAGGTGTAGTCCTGCCGAAACCGGTTTGGCTCAGTGGATAGAGCGTCAGCCTGCGGAATGAAAGGTCCCAGGTTTGATTCCAGTCAAGGGCATGTACCTTGGTTGTGGGCACATCCCCAATGTGTGTGTGTGGGGGGGGGGGGGCGTGCAAGAGTCAACTGGTCGATGATTCTCTCTCATCGATGTTTCTAACTCTCTGTCCCTCTCTCTTCCTCTCTGTAAAAAATCAATAAAATATATTAAAAAAAGAAAAAGAAAAAAAAAGGTATAGTCCTCCCCATAGAGGTGGGCTCCCGACTGGCCCCAAATATCACCCAATTAATACTTTTCTAGTCTCTTTCATTTGTGTGCGGCCTCCTCCAGAACCAGACCCTGAACCTGAATGCTGAACCACCTGGGACGTGAAAGGGGATCCCGCAGGGCCCCTTCCTTCCTAAGTCCTACTTCCTTAGGACTTTTCACCCTCCTCTTCACCTCGCCGCCCCAGCCCGAAATCTGACCCCAGCACACCCCACCTATAACAAGCTCCCTACCTCCACAATCCACCCTATGTCCTCCCTGCTTTCCCATGCAGTTCCCTCTGCCTGGGATGCTGATTCCATGACCCTGACATTCTCATCCTTAGATGCCACCTCCTTCCAGAAGCCTTCCCAGCTCCCTTGGAACAGTATCTTGCTCCTCTGGCTCCCCATACCCTATTCACATTCCTACTGGAGCCAGAGCCACAGACTATCAGGCCCTAAGGGATCTGAAAAGTCACTGTAGCCCCAGCTTCCAGCCTCAGCTTGCACCCTTCCTGTGACGGTGAGCGCATTAGCTTCCCCAGGCAGCTCTGCCCATCGTGGGCAGCCCCAATTGTTAGGAAGTCCTTCCCTTTCCTGGTTTTGGACCCAGGCCACTTTTTGGTGCCCTCTCCCTCAGCTGACTCTGCCAAAAATTGGAAGGCAGCATCCATTTTCTACTTGGGTTTTTCCCCCCTCAGGTTCACCATTCCCTCCCCTTCAGATCTTTCTCAGGGGCCCTAAATTATAGCTCCTGCCCCTGGCTTGTTCAGTCTGACCTCTGTCTTCCCCTGTAGTGCAGGATGCAAACTGAACACATAAGCGATCCGATAGCACTTCCTGCCAAGGAAGGCCTCAAGTAAAGGAACTTTTTTATTTCATTTCTTCATTTGTTCCGATCCATGTGGTTTGTGAGTCTGTTGACCCCTGCAACCTCATCCACATCTGGGCCAGAGCCCTGTAGCACCTTTCTTAGAAATGTCTCCAGATTAATGCAGACCCTTAATCGGTCCTCACTGGACACTGAATAAAGGACAAGGATGTAGGATGCCAGCACCCCTACCTCCCTGCCCCAATACAGACACATACTCCTGACCAAAAGGAACTGGGAACTAGGCTGGCACACCCTCTTCCTAGTGCCCTGGGCTGACCAGAGGGAAAACCATACACAAACGTAAAGTGGGTATTTGTTGAATGGGAATTAGGGCCTCAACTTCCCTTGGGAATCCACCCACCCTCTCCGAGTGGCAGTCACAGCTCTGAAGAGGACTGGGTTGGAACGGGGGACTTGGGAGGCTTCGGCATGGAACTGGCAGCTTGAGCCAGGGAGCAATCACAAGCCTGAAGGTCCAAACGACCTCGAGATCAGTCCACCAAGACATGTGGGCATCCTGCCTGCCACCTGCCCAACACTAGGCTCCGCCTCTTTCTCCGAACTTCCTCCTCGGAAACTCCCTGCTGAGAACCCCTGTTCCCAAAGGCTCCTCAAGTCAGAACCTGGAAACATCTACACTTCCTCCTCCTCTCACATCCCACTAACATTCCATCTGTCCTGGTGCTTTCTGTTCATCTCTCAATGGTTCTCAACCCTGGTCCAGCACCAGCATCCCTTGGCAGGATTTGAAAACAAAACAAAAAAACAAAAACCTTTCAGGGTCCTACCCCAGAGAGTTCAGATCAGAATTTTGGGGGTTGGGGCTGGGGAGGCCACTCAGGACTGAGAACTCACTGTTGGTCTGGTCTCACTCCTTTCTGACAGGCGGGCTGTCTCAGCTCCAGCCTCACCACCTCCAGGAATAAATACCTGTCGGGTGGGAGGGGGTACTGCCCCCATCACAGCATGAGAAGGCACCGCTGGAGCCCCTGGCAGGACACCCTAAGCTTCCCCTGGTGGAGGCCAGGCCGCCCTGGTGGTCTCACCTGTCAGAGGCTCCAGGATTCCAGGAAACAAGCCTTTGATTCCTCCAAGAGGCGCCTGCGCCTGCGGGCCAGTCCCCAGGGATGGCGGCAGGCCAGCCGGCAGGGTTGATTCATTCCTACTGAGTAGGAGTTGCTGTTGTCTGCCTCACGGCTATTTTTTCCCCTTCTTCCTTTTAATGACTAATCAAAGTCAGGATCACTACAGGAGAGAGGTCCAGAGCCTGTTCCCTCTCGGCCACGCTGAGTCTCCAGGAAAGAGGGCTCTCCAGGCCGATCCCTAGGCCTCTCCCGGTCCTGTGTAACCCCTCCTCCTTCAGATCCCTTCTCTTAACAGGGCCTTAGGGGAGCTCAGGCAGTTTCAGGCCATGGATCGGGGCTGGGCTCTGCCCTTAGATATGGTGTGACCTTGGGTAAACTCCTGGCCCTTTCTGGGCCTGTTTTCCCATTTGTAAGCTATGAGGTTGGACTAGATGGTCCCCAAAGAACATCTCAGCTGCATCCCAGATGAAAATGTGCTCAAATACATTGCTTCTTTTGGGAAACCCGAAGGAGGTAATAGGAGAGAGGAGGGAGATGCTCCCCTGGGCCTGTACAAACTGGCCTGTTATTGCTCGAGGACTCCCAGTCCCTTCCCACCAGTGAGAGAGAAGAGAGAAACTGGTGGGCCAAGGGGGACACTGGGTTTCCCATCCAGGGCTTCCCCAGCGGCTCCAGTGGGCTGGGCCCACTCTAGTCCAGGTGTCATGACCACCCACCATTCTCTCTCTGCGTGTCCTCACTCTGTCTGGTCCCTCCTTTAGGACCACCTTTCTCCCCCCCCCCCCCCCCCCCTTCATATCAAACTCCTCCTCCTGAGTCATCCCAAGTCCCAATCTTCCATGCAGGTTTCTTCCCAGGTCTGGCACCCCCAGCTCCCCCTTCTCCCTGTTCTCTGGCTCCTGCAGCAGGTCCCTTGTGCCCCACACCGCCCAGCATGCAGATAAACAGTGTTTGGGTCCAGGGAGGGATGGATCCGCTCCAAGAAGTTCTGGGAGAGGAAGCCAGGGAGACTTCCGAATTGGGGAACGGAGGCAGCTGCATGCCAGGCAGGGCTGCCTGAGACACCTTGCCTCAGAAGTCTCCCGGGGCCCTGGCAGGTTTGGCTCAGTGAATAGAGCGTCGGACTGCAGACTGAGGGGTCCCAGGTTTGATTCCGGTCTGGGGCATGTACCTTGGTTGCGGGCACATCCCCGGTGGGGCGTGTGCAGGAGGCAGCTGATCGATGTTTCTCTCTCTCATCGATGTTTCTAGCTCTCTACCCTCTCCCTTCCTCTCTGTGTAAAAAAAAAGGAAAAAAAAAATCAATAAAATCTATATTTTTAAGAAAGTCTCCCAGGTTGTAGGACTCTGGGCTTGTTTGTCCCTTTGAAGCCTCCGGTTGCCCTTCTGATCTCTGAGGGCTGCCTACAGTGTTGACCCTGAAGATCCCGTCACTTTCCGTATGAGAGGAGGAGGCCGGAGAAGGCTGGAGGGCTGCACCTGGCCTGCAGAGTGCCAAGGACACGTGCCAGCTCCTTTACCAAGTGTGACGTTTATCAATAACGGGCCTTCCTTCCAAATGTGGTGGCATTGGGTGGGGAAGGGGGGAGAAGGGGGAGGAAGAAGGGCTGAGGGGGTGGGAGCTGTTACCCCAAATACCACCTCTGTCCAACGCACTGGAGCAGCTGGGGAACACCTGGCTGGGAAGTTCTGGCCTCGTGGTTCCTGGGGATTCTGATCTGAAAATTCTGACCCCTGCAAGTCTCCCCCCAAATATGGAGTCAGGGTCAGGAGACTGGAGGAGCTGCGCCTCTTGCCCTAAGAATCTGGGTTCTAGGTTTTCCTATCTCCACTTCATAGATGGGGACTTGAGGCTCAAAGGGAAACTTGTGGGAATGGCAGCCCCCAACGGTCCCACCCCACCATTGTGGCTTCCTGCCAGCACCCCATCAAGGCTGCTAGAAACCCCTACTGGGCATGCCTCCCAGCGTAAGTATGGCAGCATCCATGGGCTCGAAATACCAGAGGGCTGGGGTTGGGAGAGGAACCCTCAGTTGATTCACAGAGAAACCAGTTCTTACCATTTAAGGGCACACTGGGGCTGCTGTGGGGTGGGAAAGAAGAGGGTCAGAGAGACACCTACCAGAGCAACAGACCTGGGCTTGAGCTCTCTACAACTCAAGCTCTCCTGGGGGTCGCCCTGTCCCAATCAGGCCTAAGTCTGCCTGTCTTCAGGACTCGGCAAAACCCCTTTCTACCAGCCCTCTTGACCTACAAGGTAAGCCACCTGCTTCTCCCTTGTGCCTCAGTTTCCCCTTCAGCAGAGGGGATAAAGGCTAATGAACCAGAGGTCCTGTCCAATGTGGAGGACTGTGCTCCCTCTGACCACTGGTGGCCACGTGTACTCTTATCTGTCCCGCCAGGCGCCCAAACATCAGCAGAAGCACCATAAGACCGTTCAATGCAAAGATAACTCCTCCTGACTCGACGCAGCACAGGAAACCCAAGGGCAACCACATGGGCTGGCAGGGAGGTGTTTAGACAATACACAGGGCATGAGGGACCATCTTCTTCCTGTGAAACCTCCCGGGGTTTACCCTGGGGACTGGGCACTCAGGGTAATTGGTAGAGCAGGGGCTGGCGGCCAGAGCACGGGGGAAATGAAGGCAGGAATGAAAGGTCCCAGTCCCAGGCACAAACGAACACGGGGAACCTCTGGGCAGTGAGGACAAACCCAAAGGACACTTGAAACTTTCCACATGAGGGGATCGAGGTCTCTGGCTTCAAGGCGGGCAGCAGGAGTGGGGTTCTGGAGAGCCACTGACCTAAGGCTCCCCCAGACAACAGCCGACAAGGCCTAGCAGCAGGGCTGTCAGACAGGGAACCAGACACAACTCAACCTGGTCTAGAGCTACAGGCAGGCTTCATTTTTCGTCACTCCCCCCAGCTCCCACTCCCTCCTCACCTCCACCCCCCACCCCCCAGGCCTGCCGTCCTGCCATCCCTAAGGGCAAACCTCTAGCTGCAAGGCAGAGGCCTGGGGAGGGCGCGGGTTTCAGAGGAGCAGGCGGCAGGGGTCGCTATCGGGTCCGGGAGAGGGTGGGCGCTAACTCAGAACCTTGGCGCACCCCACTACTCCCCTAAACCCCGCCCCAGGAGACACACCCCGAGGGTTTCTGAGACCCAGGTGGAAAACGGGTTCAGGTCCGAATCTGACCGGAGAATCCAGGAAGGGTCTGGAAAAGCTGTGGCGGGCTGCCCGGAGGCCACGAAGGTGGACCGGGGGCGGGTCTGATCCCCATCTCGATCGGGTGGGGAGCCACAAGTGACGGGCGCTACAGGTGACGGGAGGTGATGGAGGTGACGGAGGTGATGGAAGGTGATGGGGAAAGCTAGGAGGCTCCGAGTGGCGTCCTCCACGGAGCCCGGCCCCACCCGACCGCCGGTCCCACTGCACCCCCGGAGCGGGGCCCCTTCCCGCCGCGACCAGGCCGTGTGTCCACCCGGAGCGGGTGCAGGAGGGCCAGCACCAGGCGCCGTGCGGGGGCAGAGGCTGGGCTTGCCCGCGGGCCGGGACAGAGGTCAGGCTTCTGCCCCGCCATCCACAGCCGATGCCTACCCCTCCGACCACCCCACCCCCCCCAAACAAGGAGGCGCCCAAAAGTTCACCGAGGACCCTGGGCTCCAACCTCCAGCCCGCGGGCCGGCGGGACCGAGCTCGCGCCGGCCGTGACCCCGAGGGGGTCGGAGGGGTGGAATCCGCCGGGGGGTCCGGGCTCCCGGCTCCCCCACGCTCCCCCCGGACCGGGGCGAGGACGCAGGGGTGGCTGGCTGCCCGGTGACCCCCGGAGCCGGGCGAGGAGCGGCCCCGCGCGGGCGGGCGGCGGGCGGCGGCGCGCGGGGGCCGGACTCACCGTGCGGAGCTCCTGGGTTCGGTCCTTCATGCTCCCGGGAGTGGCTGCGGCGCCGGCTGCAGCCCAGAGAGCCCCGCATGCGCGGCGGCCGCCCTGCGGCTGCGCAGCGCCCGCCCGGCCCCGCCCCGGCCCCCGGGACCCCGGCCCGGCCCCTCGCCCGGCCCCGCCCCGCGCGCCCCGCCCCCCCGGGGCTCAGCCCGGCTCAGCCTCTGGGGGCGCGGCTCCGTGTCCACACCCCCGACTGGGTCCTTTGTTGGGTCCCTGCCCTGGGACCTCGTCTTCCAGCCTTGATGATGCGCAATTCCTGCCCGGATCAGGCCCCAGAGCCGCTGCTCCCTCCCTCGTCCCAACCTTCCCTTGTCCCAACCCTCCCTTGACTCAGCCTTTCAGCCTCGTTCTGGACCCGCCTAGGTCTTTACCTCCACAGTCCCTCCCATCCCTTGGGATTTGCTGGAGCTTGAAACCCCCACGCCCTTGATTTCATTGCTCGGACCCTCCAGCAACCCCTCCGAAAACCTCCTCCAGAGTTCCAGCCTCTGAGTCCCTGCCCTTTACTCTTTTCCTCATCCTCTCACATAGACTCGGGCTCTGACCCCCTCTTCCCCCAGAATTTCTCAGTCCACGGGTCTGATGCTGGATGACCATCCCCTTTCCTTTAATTTCCACTCCCAGCAGGATACAGGAACCCTCTATCTTTGGGGAAGGGAGATCTAAGTTATACTCCCTCACTGTTCCCTACCCCTGTATCTCCAACCTTGAGCCCCAGCTCCAAGCCTAGGATCCTCTTTCCTATATAGAAGCTGGGACCCAGCTCCTTGTGGCACTAATGAGAAGACCTTAGCAGTACTATATGTCGGGGGAGAGCAGGGGGGGCCACTAGTCAGAGCAGATGCTCCTTTTCTGGTCTCTGCCAGCATCTTGTTGAGACAATAGTCTCTCTCTCTCTCTCTCTCTCTCTCTCTCTCTCTCTCTCTCTCTCTCTCTCTCTCTCTCTCTCTCTCTCTCTCTCTGACACACACACACACACACACACACACACCAGCTGTCCCCTCTGTGCCCTGGCCCATACCCTCTTGACCTCAAGCCAAGCATACCCCCTTCCCTTCCCCACGGCTGCCAAGGTGTTGCTCTGGAGCTGGGCCAGCCCGCTGCTGCCCAGCGTGTCAAGATCTGGCGCTTGTCCCAGACTGTGGGTACAGGTTAGCTAGCTGGCAGACAGGCTGAAGACACGGTTCCAGCCATCTCTGGAAAATCTGGCCCAAAAGTAGCTCGGATGTGGCCTGGCCTGAGAGATGGCCACACCTCTTCCAGTTGTCCAGACCTTCAATGTCCCACAGAACAAGCATTGGCGGTGCCCGGCCCTCCTCCTCCTCCTCCTCCTCCTCCTCCTCCTCCTCCTCCTCCTCCTCCTCCTCCTCCTCCTCCTTCTTTTTCTTCTTCTTTTGATGGTACCCATTAGGCAGATGCAAAACCAGGACTCACCTGCCAGAGGGATTTGATCAGGATTACAGGGAACAAATGGCAGGGCAGGTGCTTCCTGGCTTCAGAGTGCTTTCCTATAGGCAGCATAATTATAGGTGTACCCCAACATCACATCTGGCCATGTGGGGAGAGGCAAGAAGGGGAGACAGCCCCTGCCCTCAGAGAGCCCAGGTGCCAAGCCAAGCATTACTCACTGGAATGGGTTAAATGATAACATGGGAAAGTGAATAAAGAATGAACTTGTGCCCTTCACCTTAAACTCTGCCTTTCTGGTATGTCTTATTTTCATGCAATCATTTATTCATTTATCAAATGTTACCTTGGAAACCATGCCCTGGGGCCACTGTTCTGTAGTTACGGTGCTCCTAGTGTAGTGGGAAAGACATGGCTTCACTATGTGAGATGAGAGATCCAGGGTAGTTTACCAGAGGTGGTGATGTTTGAGCCGGTGTTGAAGAAGTGGGATTCAGCGGGGGTAGAGGTGGGCTGGGGAGTGGGGCGCAGGCTTCCTGGGTAGGGGAAGGAGTGTGCCCAGACACTGAGGTAGGTATGAGAGACAGGGTGGGTAAGAGGTGAGTGAGGGAGGCCTTGAATGTTAATATTTTTTGTGTGAACATATTTTATTGATTTTTTACAGAGAGGAAGGGAGAGGGATAGAGAGCTAGAAACATCAATGAGAGAGAAACATCAATTGGCTGCCTCCTGCAACTTACCCCCCCACATACACACATACACACTGGGGATGTGCCCACAACAAGGTACATGCCCTTGACTGGAATCGAACCTGGGACCCTTCCTTCCGCAGGCTGACGCTCTATCCACTGAGCCAAACCAGTTTCCGCTTGAAAGGTAAATTTTATTCTGCATACAAGGAGAAGGCAATCAAGAGTCATTCCTTTAATAAAAAGGTACTAATTCATTCCTTTAATAAAAAGGTACTAATCAAGCAGTTACTATGTGCTGATTGTTCTAGATGTTGGAGATGTGGCAGAAAACAAGACAGACGAAAGTCCTTGTCCTCATAGAGTCCACAATTAATAGAGGAAAGAGATGATAAACAAAAATAAACTACTAAGTAGCATATATAATGATGGTAATATACTATGGAGAAGATAAAGGAGGAAAGAAGGAATAAAGGGTGCTGGGTTTAAGGTGGGAAATTCAATTTTATTTATTTATTTACTTATTTTATTTATATTTATATTTATATTTATATTTTTTTTGATCAAGAGAGATCTTTATTTCACGAAGTAGAAATTCTCAGGACATAGCACTCAACTAGTTTTAAACTCCTTCCCCATTGACCTATTTATTTATTTACTTATTTGAGAGAGAGAAAGAGAGAGAGAGAGAGAGAGAGAGAGAGACAACTTGTTGTTGCTGTGACCTGCACAGCAAGTTCAGGATGATTTGCCGGAGGGCTGATGACACAATGAGTACACTGTACAAGAAATATGAATTTTGAAGGCATGGGGGGGGGAGCAGATAGAAACCTGTTGCTTGAAGAGGAACCAAGAGATGGGGTCCATCTGCTTTTCATTCACTTTGAATACACATTTGCTCTTCAGCTATGCATACAGGGAGATCAAAGGTAAAGTTTGGTAAACTAAGGATTATCAGGTCAGGAAGTCGTGTGGAGCCATTGCAATCTCAATCGGAGCAAACTTGTGCTACTATTCAGCATTGCTGACTATCAAAGTCCATTGTCTTCCAATGTCTCTTTTGCACTTTTATGCTAACAATGTTTGCTTTAGCCTCCAGCAGTTGTTCCACTTATTTACTCATTCATTGGTTGTTGTTTTTTTGTTTGTTTTTTGTTTTGTATGTGCCCTGACTAGGGAAAAAACCCTGCAAACTTGGGGTCATATATATGGGGACTATGCTCTAACCAACTGAGCTACCTGGCCAGGGCAAGGTGGGAATTCCAATTTAAATGAGAAGGTCCAGGAGGCCTGAGAGAGTGGTATTTGAATAAATAAATATCTGAAAGAGGTGAGGGGGGAAGCCATGAATATCTCTGGGAGAAAGCATTCTGGGTAGAAGGAACATTATGTGCAATGACCACGAGAAGGGAGCATGTTGGAGAAAACGCAAGAAGGCAAGGATGGTTGGAGCACTGTGGTGAGGACCAGCTCCTCTGAGCTTCCGTCAGAGAATTGAGGGAGGGGCCTTGTAAGTGATAGTGTCCTTTGGCTTTTAGTCTCTCCCTGGAGTGGGAGCCACAGGAGGGTTTTGAGCAGAGGAGGGACGAGATCCATCTTGGCTTTAACAGGATTACTCGGACTGCTGAGCGGACAATAGACTGAAGGAGACACGAAGGAAGTAGAGACATCATTTAGGAAGTGGTTGCAATATCTCAGGTGGTTAGGTCAAAGGTGATGACAGAGGTAATGATGAGACGTGGTCATGTTCTGGATACATTTTAAAGGTAGAGCCACAGAGGAAAAGAGGATTCAAGGATGATTGGAGTGAAGGGTTCTGTTTTTTAAATATATTTTTATTGATTTCAGAGAAGAAGGGAGAGGGAGAGAGAAAGAAACATCAATAATGAAAGAGAATCATTGATCGAATGCCTCCTGCACACCCCTACTGGGGATTGAGCCTGCAACCTAGACATGTGACCTGGAATTGAACTGTGACCTCCTGGTTTATAGGTTGATGCTCACAAGGGTTTTGACCTGAACACCTGGAAAGATGGTGTTACATTTGCAAAGGTGGAGAAAGAACTTGAGGAGGAGCAGGTTGAAGGTGGAAATAAGGCAGGATTTGGGGTTTGGACCTATTAAAGTTTGAGTTGCACATTAGACTTCCCAATGGGGAGGGCAAGTAGGCCATTGGAGAGTCTAGAATTCATGGGGGAGGTCCAGGCAGGAAGTGGCTAGCATGGAAGTTTCTCAAAGCCAGGAAAGAGGCCCCTTTGTAGCATCAAGGACAGCTGGCTGTAGCAGGCTGCTGTGGTATCTAGGAGAGAGACCAGAGACCGTGATCTGAATAAAAGCGGGACCTGTTGGACTGCAGAAGAGTGTCAAAGGCACTCAAGAATTTATTTAATATCACTATAGTTTATTTCAATAATTAAAAGAGTGTGTCTGTTGTAAAACATGAAAACAATGACAGATATTATGAACTAGAGGCAACAGGCCCTGGTGACTCTGTGCAGATGAGAGCAGAACTGGTGCTTGGGAGAGGAATAGATCCAGGGGAGGGGAAGACTTCAGACCAGGATGTGTAGCCCGACATCCAGGAAGACATGTAGATAGATGAGGGTCGGTGTGGAACACCGGCTGGAGCTGTGGGAGGCAGGGATGGTCTGTTTTGTGTAGAGATGGAAGTAGTGAGCCACAGTCCAGGTGTGTGTGTGTGTGTGTGTGTGTAAGAAGAAACAAGGGCTAAAAGTGGAAGTGGAATATTCCCTCACACATGAGGGATGGGCAGAGACAGAGGAGCCAGAACGTGGCAGGGGCTAAAATAGGCACTGCTACACCAGATGCCTTGTGTCCCCAGAACAGGCAGCTTACTGGGGTGCGGAACCCCTTCACAGAGGCAGGGCGTTTGAATCGGTGGCCAGGGGCAGAATAGCACTTAGTGCTATCACAGCGCTTATTGTCCTGGGTGCCTGTCCCTCATTAGAGGAAGGAAAGGAACCAGGTCATGGCCTCATCACTTCCAAGGCTGGCCCAGTGTATTGTGGAATGAATGGCAAACACCTGCATGCTGGAATGAGCAGTGTTCCCATAGAGGGCCACTGTGAGAATGGCTGGGCTTTTAACACTCCTAAGTCCCCTCTTTTTCTATTGCACAGGCTGGGCGGGTGAGGCAACCCCTTGCCCACTGGATCCCAGATATTGATAACTGCTGCCATCTGCTGGTCATGAACAGTGTTGCCTCACCAATGCCATCACAGCTCAGTACCCATTTGCCCAGGTTGGGATGACTGACAGTCAACACCTACCTTTCAGAAATCTGTGGACTGGTGGAAGAAACACCTTGGCAATGACAAGACAATGATGGGCAAGTATAGGGCTGTAGGAGTCTGGAGGAGGAAGAGGAGGCAGCTTTGTGGTTTTTGTCTGTCTTCCTGTTTTATGTCCACTATCTAGAAACATTCCTAAGGGCAGAGGAGCAAACATGCCTGGTACATGGAATGTACGCATGGAAACATGCCTTGTACATAGTATGTGCTCAATAAATATCTGTGGAATGAGTGAATGAATGAATGGAAAGCCCTTAGAAATGTTTGACAGCCCACTGGCAGCCAGGACTATGCATGAGGAAGGCACTGGACAGGGCGGGAGGGTGGCCCTGCAGGAGGGTGGCCCTGTGTCGGGGGACACAAGGTGTAGCAGTGCCTATTTTAAGGAGGGCATTTAAGTCAGGGGGAGCCCAGTTGTTTTTGGAGATTAGCTACATACAGGGGGATTGAAAAAATTATGAAATATATTGAAGACAATTGTGGCAAGGGGGTAAAATATGTAAAGGAGGAAAGCTGGGAAGAACCCCATGCTGTTGGATTAGAATTTAAGCTCTAAATGTAAATTTTCCCCATATATGTAAATTGAATTAGTTAGGGTTCTCCAGAGAACGAGAACCAATAGAATAAATATAGAGAAAGAGATTTATTGTGTGGAATTGACTCACGGATTACAGAGGCTGAGAAGTCCTACTGTCTGCCATCTGTAAGCTGGAGACTCGGAAAGCTGGTGGCACAGTTCCAGTCTGAGTACAGAGGCCTGAGAACCGGGAACACCGATGATGTGAGGACCAGTTCCAGGGCAGGAGAAGACCAGTATCCCCCCTCAAGCGGTCAGGGAGAGAGAATAACTGTTCTCTGCTTTTTCTTCCTACTCAGTCCACCAGCGGATTGAATCGTGCTCTCCCATATTGGGAAGGACCATCTGCTTTACTCAGTCCACCAACTCAAAAATCACTCTCTTCCAGAAACACACTCAGAAGTCATGTTTAACCAGTCAACTTGACACACAAAATTAACCATCGCATAGATAAAAAAAATAAATGAAGCTGTGTGTGTTTTTGTGTGTAAATGTGTGGCTACTGAGTGGGCTGGGGAGCAGAGATTACCCTAAATGCAACAAGCACACCTAAAACCAGATCTTGGTTTTTAAATACTATTTGCCATCAACACACACACACACACGGCCTCTTGTAGAAATGGCTAATCCTAAGGCTGGGGCAGGGTAAAACCAGAGGAGCCGGGACTATCTTGTTGAGCCAGAAAGAAAGGCAGTGTTCAAAGGACGATGTCACACATCAAAGCGGCAAGAGGTCAGCAAGGGGCACCCATTGACCAAACCAAAACCTGGTACAATGTGAGCATTGAAATAAGCGATAGGAATGGGTTCTAATGCATTCAATAAAATAGGAAACCAGAAGTCCATTTGATATAAATAAATGAATAAATAAATGGGGGTAAAGAAACAGTTCTTTGCAATAGGATGCCAACAAATCAAGTGTAGACGAAATGGTGAAATTAGGAAAGCATCATTTGCAATGGATGCTGAAACCTATGGGTGAAAATGGGATGAAGAAAAGGAAGTTTCAACATCTCAAAGTAACTCCCTTCCCCAACACTTATCAATCATGATCAAGAAATCAACATTCGCACTACCAGTTTTGGTTCCCAATGATTTTGGATATGAGAATACAGCATCATCATTTCTGTGATTTATCTTCACAAAACGTGTAACAGTGGTCTAATCATGAGAAAGGTTTGGACAACCCAGGGCGAAGGACAGTTTTAAAATAACTTCTCTGTAATCTTCAAGTGTGTCAAGGCCATGAAACTCAAAGGTTGCAAATTGTTCTAGAATGAGGGAGGCTGGGGAGATATGACAACCGGTACAACGCTTGATACCATATTAGATTCTTTTGAACCCTAAAATAATATTTTTTTGGACATCAAAGACTAGCATGAAATTGTTTCCAAATAAAAAATTAAAATTAAAAAATAAACATGGCAAAGGCGTTAGCCGTTTGCCTGGCTGACGCTTGCTGACCTGCTGGATTCATTTCGGACAAGCTCCTGTGGAACCCACTTTGACTAACTGGGAATGAGGGGCCCTTGTGCTCCCACTGCCCCTGGACCTCCAACACCCCTTATTGAGCATATCTATGCTTTGCCTTTACTAGCCCTGGAGACCCCTGTCTGGACCATGGAACAGAGTAGCCTCTTGAAACGCCCTGAATCTCAACAAAGGGGTGTTGCATTAGGGCAGTGGTTCTCAACTTTTCTAATGCTGTGACCATAAAATTATTTCGTTGTGACCCTGCTAGCGGTTCTCAACCTGTGGGTCACAACCCTAAGACCATCAGAAAACACAGATATTTACATGACGATTCATAACAGTAGCAACATTACAGTTACGAAGTAGCAATGAAAATAATTTTATGGTTGGGGGTCACCACGTGAGGAACTGTATTAAAGGGTCATGGCATTAGGAAGGTTGAGAACCACTTGGTTAGCGTATCGGCCCCTGGGCCAAAGGGTTCAATTCCCAGTCAAGGTACCTCTGTTACAGGCTCCCCATTGGGTGTGAGAGGCAAACAATCCATCTGCCTCTCTCACATCCATGCTCTTGCTCTCCCTTCCACTATTCTCCATCCCTTCCACTCTTTCTAGAAATCAATGGAAAAATATCCTCAGGGGAGGATTAAAAAAAGAAAAAATGTTAGGAGGAATGTGCCAGGAATGGTTAAACTTTTTTCTTGTTTTCTGCTGAGGTGAGGTTACAGTTATATGTGTGGAAATGCCATCCAAGGTACCAAGATGCCAGTCCTTCAAGTTGGGGGGCTGGGCACCTGTTTCTCAGCATTGGGGCAGCCCTGGCTCTGTCCCTTTTTTCTCCTTTCCCGCTGTGGGCAGAGCGCCCCCTTTGGGTAAGGAATGCAGAGAGGCCTGGGGCCTGGCTGCAGGGTTCCAGGATCTGGGAGAGGAGGCAGGGACTCGCCTGCCTGCCTAAGGCGGGGCTTAACAGGGAGTGCCGTGCCAGGAAGGGAGGGCAAAGGGCTCCACTTGCCTCACCCCACTGACAAGAGTTCCTGTCACCAGCCACCTTCTCTGTCTGGGGCCCTTGAGGGGTAAGTAGCCTCCTCAACCCACCTTCTCTCTTTCCTCGGGGCCAGGTGAGAACTCCTTTCCTCCTTGGGGGTCCAAACACGTGCCCTCTCTGCTTACCCTTCAGCCGGGCATGGGCCACACCTGCTACCCCTCACCATGGCAGAAGGCCCCTGCTTTCCTTTCACAGGTCCCTGAGACCGGGAAACAAAGGGGCAGATACGGAGTGTCTCAGACCCTTCCCTTCCTGCTATCGGCTCAGGGACAAGGCCAGGGCGGAAGGGCACAGAGAGGGGCACCTCAGCCAGGCAAGCCCAAGATCACTGTTCCCTCCTCTTCCACCCTGCAACAGAGCCCAGAATCCTCAGCGGCTGGAGCACTGGGGGACACCCAGACAGAGCCCTCGCTGGACCGAGTCCTCCAGGAGCGGGATGAAGCCATTGCCAAGTGAGAGGCAGCTGCCTGTGGGAGCTGCGGGGGCAGTGCCGGCTCACCCTCAGGGCTCTGTCCGGCTGGAAGAGGGGCGGGGGAAGGCAGGCATTCCTGGAAGAAATGCCACACAAACAGCTTTCTGTGTCACAAGGCAGGGGCTGTGGCCATATCTGCCCACCCCCCGGGGCCCAGCATCCGATCGATCGGTAAGCCCTGGGCCTCAGGGCTGTTCTCTCTGCCACCTGCAGGAAACAGGCTGTGGAGGCTGAGCTGGACACATGCAAAGCCAAGTTACGAGCTGCAGAGGCCCAGCTGCTGGAGGTCTTGGAGGAGAAACTGAGGCTGAGGCAGGAGGCGGAGGCCTGGGAGGTAGGATGGGAATGCCAGCTGGGCCCGGGAGGGACAGGGAGACAGGCCCCGAGTCTGCCTGTGAACCTTCTCTCCTGCCCCCAGGAGGACATGCAGCGGCTGGTGAGGCAGCTGGTGGAGAGTCAGCTGCAGAGAGAGTCCAGCCGCACTCGGAGAGCCCCCACGCCGCCCGGAACAGCCAGGACCCCATGGGTTTGGTTCCCCCAGCGCTGGTGGGGGCGTTGGTGGTGAGAGCGCTCAGCCCAGAACCTTGAGAACAGTATCTTTTATTCATTAAAACTTGAGGCCTGACCACCTTCGCACCTCGTGCCCTCTCAGTGCCCACCTGAGTCCTGTGCGGAAACAGGGAACAAGCTGCAGGGCCTCGACACCTGGGGCTTCAAACGTGGCCCCTGTGGCCGGCAACTCTCAGGCCAGGAAGCCTCGGATGGCAGCCATGAAGTCATGTGGGCAGTCAGCGTGGACCCAGTGCCCGGCATCCGGCACGATCTGTATCTGGGCCCCAGGGAAGAGTCGCTTCATCTCAGGGTGGTGACTGGGACTGTCAGTCGAGGAGAAGGCCGCCAACAAGGGGTGAAAGTGGGGAGACGGGAAGAGAAAGAAAAGCAAAGGCACATCAGGAAGAGGTGGAGAGCTATACGCCCCGTGGTGTTTCCAAGCTCTCAGGAGCTCACTGCCCCCATCCGAGCCCTCCCCAAGGCAGGCTCCCCAGGCTGGGGGCTGGGGTAAGCAAGCCATGCCGGGTCTACCACTCAGCCTGGCTTACTGCACGAAGTCAGACTTTCCACCGAGGAGGAAGAGGGTAGGCCCAGGGTAGGACTCTTGTTGTGGAGGGAAGGCCAAGATCTCGTCCACATGCTGGGCCAAGGCATCCAAGTTCACTCTCCACACAAAGCGCCCGTCTGCCTCCACCAGGTTGGTGAGCAGGAACTCCCGCACAGCCGTGTCCTGTGGGGGGGAAGGGGATGCAGGAGGGGGGAGGGAGGGCTCCCTGTGAGACTTGGGCTGCCACTGGTCTCTCGACAGGTCCAGACCCAAACTACCCAGGGCCTTGAGGGTATCACCTGAATAAGAGAGCTGAGCTTTTTATCGGCCAGTCTGCGGGCGGAGGAGCGGGACATCTTCTCTGGGATGTCTATGGCCTTCATGGCTGCCACGTAGGCTGGAAAGTTTGAGCTGGTTATAGTGTTCACTGGGCTGATGTCCACGGCAACCAGACGTTCCACCAGCTCCGGCTGCAGGAGAGAACTGGACTGGCAATCCAGCCTTAGGGCACGCACAGTGGGTCGCAGGCCTGGTTCCCCGGTCCTGAACTTGGCCTCCCCAGGCAGGCTCCTTTGAGTCTCAGGTTGCCAGCTGGGCACTCAGGATCTACACTGGATGGGAGGAGAAGCCCTGGATAAGGTCGGCTCACCCTCTGCAGTGCCAGCAACATGGCTGTCTTGCCTCCCATGCTGTGGCCAATGAGGACACAGGGCGCGAGGCCCAGCTGGGGCAGGAGGTCCTGCAGGTCCTGGATCATGGCCTCGTAGCTCATGTCTGGGCTGTGGGGGCTGTCACCATGGTTCCGGGCATCCACTGTCAGCACCTGGGGAAGGGGGTGAGAGGGGGCAGCACTGGCATTCACACTGGGGCATGGACAGCCAAGGGGGTGGGGAACCTGGAGAGAGATCCTAAAGCAGAAGAAAGACTCAGATAGTGAGAAGGCCCAGTTCCCAGACCTAGGAGGCCCAGATGTAGAACCTGGGGTCACGGATACAAAAGAGAAGACCTAACGAGTGTGACCACATCTCTGAAGGTCTGGCCTGGCTGGGTAGCAACTCCAGAGAAAGAAGACACCAAGAATTTCCAACAGTTGAAGCACAGGAGGATGGTTTGCTCTGAGAGGCGTTAAGTCCCCTGTCATCCTTGGTGAACAAGCAAGGGGCTGGCCCCCGGCGCGGGGAAGGTGTCTTCAGTTAAGCATCGGACAGTGGAGCCTCACTCAGTTTGGAGCATGCAGATGAAGATGGACTGGATGGATGGAAGCCCCAGGGAATGAATGCAGGCTGCATCTTTAGAAGGTCAACCTCTCTTTTCAGAAAGACCGGTCCCTGTAACCTCTAGAGTCCCTCCTAGCTCTTTCCCTGTCACCTGTCACTGCTCAGCCCGGTCCCAGCGGTGAGGGTAGAGGAGCTGGCCCCGCCTCAGCCTCATGCCCCCCAATCCCCGCCCCCCTCCCCACCGCCACCTCCCGCGGGACTCCGCCTCTCCCGGAAGCTCACCCTCCGGCCTGTCTGCTGAGCCAGGGCCTTGGCGATAGAGTTGAAGTTGGTTTTGCTGCCGAAGAGCCCGTGCAGAAAGACGAGGGCTGGGCGGCCCGCCTCCCCATCCAGAAGCTTGTAGGAAAGCGGCACCGATCTCCTGGAAGGGGCGAGGGTGGGGGCTGATCGGAGCCGACTCCGGGAGAGGTTTAGGGGAGCGGCCTGGGGCCCTGGGGGGAGGCGGGCCCAGGCGGAGGAGGTGGGGCTGTCGGGTCGCACCGGAGAAGGAGGAGGAGGAGGAGGGTTCATGGACGGCCTCCCACTGGGTGCCCTTGACTGACCTCGGCTTGGCGCCGCTCCGGCCGCTGCTGCTGCTTGGTGCGACGGGCACCCTGGAGAAGCAGATTCTGGGGAGCTCGAGCCCCCCAGGGAGGAGCCTCCAGGTCCGAGCCCAGCTGAGCATGCCCGGGAGCCGCTCCCCGCACGCACCCCGCGAGCGCGTTCTGTACCCGAGCCCCGCCTCCCGCCTCTGCTGAGCCTCGCCCCGTGCCCATCGGAGCTCCGCCTTCTGCCCGCCTTCGCTCCCATTTCCTGACGTAATCCTAGGGAGCTGTCAATTCCCCCAGCCCCGCCCCTCCGGCGGGAGCACCTCCTGGCCACGCGGAGTTCCTCGGGGAGTCTGGGCCCCGCGTTCCGGGAACCCGGTCCCAGCTGCTCTGGATGTCCTGTTGTTTTTTGTTTTTGTTTTTGTTTTTTTTGTTTTTTAAAAATATATATTTTATTGATTTTTTTTATAGAGAAGAAGGGAGAGGGATAGCTAGAAACATTGATCAGCTGCGTCCTGCACACCTCCCACTGGGGATGTGCCCGCAACCAATGTACGTGCCCAGGATCGAACCTGGGACCCTTCAGTCCGAAGGCTGATGCTCTATCCACTGAGTGAAACCGGTTTCGGCATGGATGTCCTAGGTTTTGATGCGAGTTCTGGGCGGCCGCGGGACAGGCTCTTGGCTGGCCTAGGAGGCCCTGCCTGCACCCGCACCCGGAGCCGCACCTGTCCGCTCTCCTGCCCTCACCCACCGTCTTGAGTGGGTGCCATACTTTGTGTGCCGCCCAGGGGGGGTGGGAGGGGCGCGGGAGGGAGACCTGGGATGGCTCCCAACGTCAGAGCTACTGCTTGGAGGCACAGGATGGGGAGGAGGGCGCCGGACGGGCTGTAAGGAGAAACCTCTTACCCATTCTGAATCGTGGACTGGAGAAAGAGCTAGGAGGGACTAGTCTAGAGTTATCTTCAACCATCTCCCCACCCCGTTCTTTACAAACGGGGAAACTGAAGCAAACCGGAACCTCAGGTCTGCCATTCATAAATGCGAGTCAAAAAATGGGTGTTTGTACTGGTGGGGCATCTGAGTTGAAATGACTCAGATCTTCTCCCTACTCCCTCCTTCCCCCTTTTACAATCCTTCCACCCCTAGATCTCAGCGCATCTTGCAGAGAAATCGCCTTTCTTTGGAACGCTGAACCGCTGCCATCTTTTCTCCCTCGTCTGTGATAGAGGTGGCATTGGTGGTATTATCTCAGGTCTCAGTTGGCTTCCGCTGCAGCTCATCCTTCAGCAGTTTGCAAGAGTGGCTTACTTTTTCTTTTAAAAATTTTTTTATTTAGGGAAATGGTAAGATATGCACACAGATAATTTAATTAAAAAAAGGAAAAAATAAATAAAATTATTCCTCAGGCAACTGAAAAAAAATTAAAAAAAATATTTATTGTCTTTAGAGACAGAGAGAAGAAACATTGATTTGTTGTTCTATTTATTTATGCATTCATTGGTTGGTTCTTTTTTTAAAAAATGTTTTAATTGATTTCAGAGAAGAAGAAAGAGGGACAGATAGAAACATCAATGATGAGAAAGAATCATCGACCAGCTGCCTCCTGCATGCCCCACACTGGGGATCGAGCCCCCAACCCGGGCATGTGCCCTGCCTGGGAATCAAACCATGAATTCCTGGTTTATAGGTCGAAACTCCACCACTGAACCATTGGTTGATTCCTGTATGTACCCTGACTAGGGATAGAACCTGAAACCTTGGTGTATCAGGACAGTGCTCCAACCAGCAGCTACCTCACCAGGGGGAGTGGTTGCCCTTTCTATAGCGTCCTTTGGCTCAGAACCCTTCAGGGACTCCCCATAGTTGAAAAAGTTGAAACTTCATCACCACATCCCAAGCTTCCCCCAGGACGATTGCATTTCCACCCATGCTCCCCCTTCTCTTACTCCCCAAGGAAGCACACTGAGAACTACACTGCACATCTCCCTTTAGATCTTTACCACAGTGACCCACTCCCCCTGCTGGGATGCTGTCCCTGCCTTCCAGAGAGCCACGGGCCAGGTTCCAGGATAACGGCCACCTCCTCCGCAAGCCTTCCCAGATTTCCCCGATTGAAACGAATTTCTTCCACCCCATTCGTCAGAGTGCACTCTACAGTACTATAGAGCAGCCCTTCTCTGTGTCCATCATAGGCCCAGAGCCGTGTTTTGTTCATCTGGTGCTAAGTGCAATGGTAATTTTACTGGATGATCTTGGAGAGATCCAGGGCAGTAGCTGAGGCTTAGGTGAAGGTTGAACTGGTGGCTGGATCTGTGCCCCTTCCTGGAGCTGACACCTGGGCTTGCAAGGGTTACACGGGCCTTCCTCCCCCTTTAGGGAATGCTGGGTGGAACCGGGACCAGTAGGAGGCGCTCTAACTACTCTCAGGCCTCATAAATAAACGGCTCCCACTTTGAGTCAGCCTGAGGGCTGGCAGGTGTTTTTGTTCTAATCCGAGGAGGGCTTTCAAGTCACAGGTGGTGTAATCGTTTGTTACCAGCATAATAATCATTAGGGAAGTGATGAGGACATCTGAGCCCTGGACTGGGATTGGTCCAAGGTCTGGGAGGGGTCCTCAGAGAGTGGATCCAGCAGTGTTTTTCTAGAGTTGGTGGAAGAAGGGGAAGGGAGATGGCATAATGTTGGTGACTCAGAAAGGGAGTATTTTGAGCTGACCCCCACCCTCACGCCAACCTGTCTAGTCTGGTAAACGGAGCCTGGCCCAAGACCCTGACATCAGCCCCAGCCAGAGCTCAGGGTCTGAGGGCAGAAGCAACTTTGAGACCCTCCCTTCTTCCCATCCCACGCCCCCTCCCCGCCAGCCATGTCATGTGGCTGGTTAGGGTGAGATCAGCAAGCAGAAAAACCAGTTGGCTTTTGGAAGTTTGCTCTTGTTGCCACCTGGGAAGAACTCTGGCGATAGTGTGTTGGGCGAGAAGGGTCCACCTGGGGCGCTGCCCACCCCACCCCAGCTTGTTAGGAACAGGCTGGTGGACTCACAGGTGGTGAGAGCCTCCCTGGTGGTCAGGGGGCTTCGTTGCTGGAGGGGAGGCCTCTGAGCCCTGATATGCTGGGGTGATGGGGGGAGAACCAGGTTGCAGAACAACTCACTACCTCCGAGAAGGTCTACCCTTCAGCGGCCCTGTTCCCAGAAGTTCCAGCCTTCCCTGTAAAGTGCAAATGGGGAGGCGGAGGTGGAGTAACCCAGCTCCCATCGCTCCGCCCAGCCCTAATGCCTGCCCGGGCGGAGTGACTGGGGCCTCAGGGGTGTGGCCTGCGGAGGCTGGGACTCTGCACCCCGGAGGCGGTGGCGCCCGATGGGTTAAAGCGGGGAGGCGGCCGGTGTCCTGTAACCGCACCTGGACCAGTATCGGTCACGTGGCCGGGGTTTCACCTGCCCCGCTGAGCAGGGACAATCAGGCCGCTTGTTCCGGGGTTGGTCGCCATGGTGACAGGAGTGCGCCTGGAGAGGTCACGGGGCAAATTCCTGCGGGCCCGCAGGCGGGGCAGCGCTGTCAGTCTTGCAGGGGGTAGGGGGTTGGGGCTCCCTAGGACCCCTGGAGGTTTCCTGTGGAGCTGCCCCCAGGAGCCCCTGTGTGACTGCCCCCCACCTTCTCCCATCTCATCCCTCCCCGCTCCATCCCAGGGCAGCTTCTGTTGCCAGATTTTGAACCCGAGTTTATTAAACTGCTAGGACTTTCATGCACATTATTACCTCATTTAATCTGCCTTCCCCACGTGGGCGTGGTAATCCCCTGTGTCTCCCCCAGATTCCCCGAGCGCTTTGAGAACATTCGCTGCTGCTTTTCTTCCTTCAACAATCCATCCACACTTTTGGAACCTTTTGACTACCTGCCTTTCTACACACAGGCTCTTGTCTAGACATAACCGTGCAACAAACAACAAACGCATGGACCACACAACAGTGGATTCTGCAGTGTTTATTTCTTCAGAGCAGGATGGAGAAGCCCTGGGGACCATGGTTTGAAGGCAGGGACTGCACAGGGTCATCCATCACTCTGGTGTCAAGAACATCTCTGGGGGCCTCTCTGCCTCCCCCAGACCGTACTCATACCTCCTCCCCTCCAAGCTTCCCCCAGGCCCAGGGATCCTCAGACTCTTACTTTCATCCACTCACTTTTTTGCTCCAGAACCTCTGACAGGCCCTAAGAGCAGCAACTGTTTGTCAACTTCCTTTCTCCTGAGTCTCAAGTGGCAGAGTCTCTGACCCTCAGGAACAGTCATCACACCCATAAATTCTTAAGGTGGGTGGGGTGAGGTCACCCACCTTTGGAGTGGAGGTGGAAGAGGGAATCCTTTTTTTTTCCCCCTCAAACCCCACCCCCAGAGCTGTCTGCCTGCACCCTGGAGTCTGTCTCTGTTTTGCTTGTAGTTCAGTTTGTTCATAAAATTCCACATGGGTGAAATCATATGGTACTTGTCTTCCTTTGTCTGGCTTGTTTGACTTAGAGTAAGGTTCTCCAGGTCTATCCACGCTGTTGCAAAGGGTAAAATTCTCTTCCTTCTTCCAGCAGAGTGGTATCCCATTGGTAATGTAACACCGTCTCCCCACCTCCCACCCCACCCACACACAGACTCACCCACTTGGGCTGTTTCTAGATCTTGGCTGTTGTAAATAACACTGCAGTGAACACAGAGGTACATATATTCTTTCGAATGAGTGTTTCCGGTTTCTTTGGATAAATTCCCAGAAGAGGAATCACTGAGTCATAGACAGTTCCATTTTAAATTAAAATATATATATATATTTTTATTGGTTTCAGAAAGAAAAGGAGAGTAAGAGAGAGATAGAATCAACATTGATGAGAGAGAATCATCAATCCGCTGCCTCTGCACACCCCACACTGGGGATCAAGCCTGCAACCCGGGCATGTGCCCTGACCCAGAATCAAACCATGACCTCCTGGTGCGTAGGTTGACATTCAACCACTGAGCCACACGGGCTTGGCGAGGGCTCCCTTTTCTCCACATCTTCCTTGTTTGTTGGGAGTCCTTGTATTTTGAAACTCCGCAACCTTCTCTCCCCGTTGAGAAACACCAGCCTGCAACTATATTCCAGCCTCCTCTGCCTTCATTTTTGAGCCTTCATTTATTGAAACCTACTATGTGCTAGGTACTGAGGATGCAAGGGCGAGCCGAGGAGATCAACTCAGAGACCTGGTAGTCCAGTGGAGGCTTCACTAATGGAAGCACAGTCACACACTGTGGAAATACACAAAGGAAAGCGAGAGTGTAAAGCAGGAATCCGACAGGCCCTGGGGTCAGGTGAGGCGGCTGGCTCTGACTAAGTGGTGCTTGAATGGAAAGCAGAAGGATGAGTAGGAGTCAGCCAGGTGAAGGGGTTACAGTGGGGTCAAGTGTTCCCAAAGTGGGAACACCTTGTGCCATGGCAAAGCCATCCCATCTCCCAATGTAGAGTCTTAGGAGTCATTCCTGATGCCTCCTTCCTTACCTCCCCCACCCCTGTCCCTCACATAGTTTTTATCTCCCAGATGTCCATCCGCTTCACTCCATCTCCAAGGCCCCATCTCTCCCCTGCATTGCCGTCTCCTCCATTTTGGCCACTCCAGTACCTAATGGTAACCAGCATGATCTTTTCCAAACACACAATGTATTTCTATTTTTCTTCCTATTTATGTTTTCCCATTTTTCTGTGCTCTGTTTCCCCCCCCCCCCAACTTTAATGGTCATTTTATTCACATCAAAGCTACAGTGAAGTGTAAGGTTTCCTTTATTATAATAATGTTTTCCATGGAGGATCGGAGTCTATTAAAAATAAGAATTTTCAATTTATTATACATAAATGTCTACTATATTCTTAGTAGTCAATTAATTTTTATTTATTTATTTTTAATTTATTGTTTAAAGTTCCTCCCCTCCCCTCTGACCCTCCCTCTCCCCCCAGCCATTCCCACCCGGAGTGTGCTCTGGGTTTTGTGCTCCTTGTCCCTGGGGATGCACATATGTGGCAGACCTGAAAGCAGAAAAGCTGGTTTATGTGTTTCAAAGCCGAAGCCCTGAGGGGAAAGGAATGCTGCAGCAGAGACAAGTGTCTTGGCCAAGAATAGGAGGGGGGAGGGTTCTGCCACCTGCTTCTTGGCAGGGTCCCCAGAGAGGAATAGCTCCTGGGCTTACTAGGCAGGCAGTGCTTACACAATATTCCCATGTCCCAGACCAGACACAGTGAACCACAGACTGAGGGGCCAATGAGACAGGGTGGTGATGTTTAAGCAGTGATCGCCATTGCCTGAGGGCTGGATGCTGTCCAACCGCCACCTCCCCACCCCCAGCCTTATTCCTGACCCCTCCCCCCTCCCCCAGCAAATTCGGCCGGGGCTGAGTATCATAGAACTGTGTCCGACCTCAGGAGGATTAAAGTTCAACTCGTTTCCAACTGCCTGGGCAGAACGGAGTATCCAGGAAATAATGTCATTGCACATCTGAGTTTGTGGACTTTCGTTATTGCTACCATACCGTACACTTTTGTCAACTGGCTGGAAAAAAAAATTGTCCATTGATTTTAGAGAGAGAGGAAAGAAGAGAGAAACATCACTTTGTTGTTCCAATTGTTTATGTGTTCATTGGTCGTTTCTTGGATGTGCCCTGACAGGAGAGTGAACTCTCAACCTTGTCCTACTGGGGATGACACTAACCAACATGCTAACTGGCTGGGGCCGAACTGACTTTCTTTTTAAATTCAGTTTAATTTATCCAACACATATTTACTGAGCCCCTGCTAATACCAAACATGAATTGTAGAGCTAGGAATATGGCAATTACATGAACCTACTGCTCAGGGAATACAAAAACAACACCCATGCACCCTCCTCAGCTTTTCTACTCTCTAGTGGGGAAGACAGGCCATATTCAAAGAAATAAATATGTAAGTACAAATTGTGATAAATTCAGGGAGCAGAGAGCTGTCTGTGTTCAATAATAATTGGGGTGGGAGGGAATAAGTATGGTGATAGGGAAGACCTCAGGTATGGTGAAATGTAAAGGATAAGAAGAAGGCAATCATATAACAGTGGGGGGTGGGGGGCGGGAGATTGTTCTAGGCAGAAGGAACAGCAAGTGCAAAGGCCCTGAGGTGCACAAGACCTTCCCTTGTTAGAGGAAGTTGGAGCAGAGAAAGCAAGGAAAGAAAGTTGTATATGAGGTGGGCTTGGGTTGGTCCAAGCAGAGAACTGGTAGGAGATTTGGTTGTTAGTCTAAGAGAAATGAGAGCCATCCAAGGTTTTAAGCAGGAAGAGACATGATTTACATTTTTATAAGACTGGCTTCGTGGCAGATGGTGGGGGACAGAATAAAAGGGAAACGGAGGAGGGGAGGAAAAGTCAGCTCGGGGGCAGTTAGGACATGATGGTAACTTTTGACTGGGAGATGGCTGTGGAGGCATGAAGAGACAGACAGATCTGAGATATATTTTGACTTAGAATCAATAGGATTTGATTAAGAATTGGGTGGGTAGAGAGGGAGATGGTGGTGAGGAAAGGGAAGGCATCAAGGACAACCCCCATGTTTCTGGACTGAACACATCGGAGGGTAGTTCTGCTGAGGTGGGAAATTCTGGGGAGGAACTTTTATTTTATTTTTTTCTCTAGGGTTCCAGTGGTAGAAGAGTCAGGAGTTCCACGTGAGGCCTGTTAAGTTTGAGATGCCAATGAGATGTCATAATATAGTAGGCCCTCTGTATCTCTGGGTCTCACATTCACAGATTCAGCTGACTGTGGATCGAAAACATTCAGAAAAAGCCCTGCTGTGTGCTCAGTGGTTAGAGTGTTGGCCCATGCACTGAAGGGTCTTGGGTTTGATTTCTGGTCAAGGGCGTGTACTTGGGTTGCAGGCTTGATCCCTGCCCCGGTCAGGGTGGGTGGGGGAGGCAGCCAATTGATGTGGCTCTCTCACATCAATCTTTCTCTCTCTCTCTCTCTCTCTCTCTCTCTCTCTCTCTCTCTCTCTCTCTCTAATAATTTTTCCCCCCTCTCCCTCCCCCCCTCCCTCCCTTCTACTATCTCTGAAAATCAATGGAAAAAATATCCTTGGATCAGGATTAACAATATATATTTGGGAAAAAAAATCCCATAAAGTTCCCAAAACAAAACTTGAATTTGCCACACACTGAGCACTATGCGGAATCCACATGAATGAACTGATATGTAGGCATACTCTGCTGTAGCCTCTATGCAAATACAACACCATTTTATATAAGGAACTTGTGCATCCTTGAATTTTGGTATCTGTGGGGGTCTTAGAACCAATCCCCTGGCGAGTGGGGATTTTGAGGGAAGACTATAGTTAACATTTATTGAGTGCTTAATAAGTGCCAAACATTGTTCTAAGTGCTTCATATCCATTACCTCATTTAATCCTCATAATGACTGTGAGAGGGTATATTTATATATATATGTATTATTTATGGTTCCTCCTTTATAGCTGAGAGAATTGAGCCACAGAGAGGTTAATTAATTGCTCAGGATCACACAGCTTGGGAGCTGCAGGCCAGGATCCAATCCCACGTGGTCGAGCTCTAGGCGCCATGCTGTAAACTGCTGCCCCCCACTACCTCCAAGGTATCCAAGGAGGCAACTGGATGCCTGAATGGGGAGCTTGAGGCAAAGGGCCGAAACCAGAGGATGTTAAAGCCATGGGAAAGGGTTGAGACAATCAAAGGGTATTGTCCTTTGCACGTTAGAGGAAGAGGAGAGGACCCGGACAGAGGACCCTTGGAGTTAAGTAGAGGAAGACCAGGGAAGGGAGATGGAGGAGTGGACATGGAGGGGGAGGAAGGCCAGGTGGGGTGCTGTCACAAAGAGTAGAATAAGCCATAGTTGCCGAAACCGGTTTGGCTCAGTGGTAGAGCGTCGGTCTGCGGACTGAAAGGTCCCAGGTTCGATTCTGGTCAGGGGCATGTACGTTGGTTGCAGGCACATCCCCAGTAGGGGGTGTACAAGAGGCAGCTGGTTGATGTTTCTCTCTCATCGCTGTTTCTAACTCTCTATCCCTCTCTCTTCCTCTCTGTACAAAATAAATAAAATATTAAAAAAAAAAAAAAAAAAAGCCGCCGAAACTGATTTGGCTCAATGGATAGACTGAGGGGTCCCGGGTTTGATTCCGGTCAAGGGCATGTACCTTGGTTGTGGGCATATCCCCGGTAGGGGGTGTGCAGTAGGCAGCTG